CTAAAATCATCAGCTGTAATCCAGCCACAAACTTTTCAGAACTACTGCTGGCTTGCGGTCCCCCTGTGGAGCTGCCCCATATTGCCTTCTGTTAGTAAACAGCTCTGCCTGCTCCCTGGCCACAAAATCTTGCTCATTTTTCTCTTTTTCTTCTCCAGAAAGCACTGGGAGACACAGCAGTTCCTAAGAGATGCTGCAGAAAAGCACACTGCCTCACCCTGGAAAAGTCCGCATGGGATTTGGGGGCATGCATTTACCTCTGTGAAGCCCTCCTGCAGAATATCCAGTAAATTCCCCCTGGCCAAACAGGCAAGCATTCTCCACGAGCCCACTGAGGGGTGATGGTCTCAGAGGGCGTACGGCAGATCCTCCAGCTCTGGGCACAGCCTCTTCCTCCTCCCAGAGACAAAGAGTTGGAGCTCATCAGGAACCGCATTCATATCCCATATGTGCAGCCCGTTAGTGCATGCAGATAGTTGAGCCAAAGTCAGGGCTTGCACTGGGCATGCTCATGAGAGAGCTGCTGGGGGAGCAGCGGAGAGATGTCATACGGTTCCTATAGAAACGCCTCAGCTTACAAGATGCAGCCCAAGTGCTGAGCTGGGGAAACATCTGAAACCTATTTCCAGCAGTCGTACTCACATGAAACCTGCTGCGGAAAAGAGGTTTTCAAGCCCACCAAACACAGCCAGCCCTGTCCGGCATGGGGGCAGGGAGCAAGTCAGCAAATAGCAGATGTCTTCCTTAGCTAAGAAGAGAGAGGAAAGACTGTAAGAGCTAGCCAGCTTAAACTCTCAGCAATTGCTCCACAGTCCCAAAGAAATGGCACCATTTTTAGCAACCCTGTAGAGACAGGAAGCTGCAAATGAGGCCACAATGCAGCAAATAACATTTGCACAGTGCTGGGCTCACTCTACCTGCTGTGGCAATGAAGATGAAAGAAGAAATAAGGACAAAAACTTTAAATTAGAATTAAATACAATCCCCAGCAAAGTTCTAAATCAACAGTAACTACATTCATTCCAGAAAAAAAATGTATCAAATATCTTCAGGCAATCTCCCAAACTTCATCTCAGCTTACAAGAAGTGCCCTGAAAAAAGAAGGAAAGCATGGAGAACCTCTCCTGCCAGGGGCTGTCTGCCAGTCCTGCTGGGCAGCACAGCAAGCACTGCCCAGCAACACACCACGCCTTCAGAGTTCTGAATACCTGGCCAACCATATCTAAGGGGAAAAACAAACATGTTTTTCTGCCTAAGTATTGCAGGCTGGGGAGGAAAAAGCATGGCGTAATTCTACCATTCTAGTGTTTTCTCTGCCAGATATGGAAGATGTAGGTGAAATATAGAAAGACGAGCAACAGCTAATTTCCTTCTACAACCAAAACAAGTAATTAAAAAACGAGTCAATTGCCACTTGTGACAAGAGTTTTAAATATATTATGTTTGCCTTTCCTATTTACTTATCCAAATTCAGTAGGAACTGAGACTTCTGTTTTCTTTAATTGCTACGTTAAGCAAACAATACAGTACTGTATTCTTTGGAAAAAATCTTGCAAGGAGGCAATGCTGGTGGTTAGCACTTTGATCCAATTTGCTCTTGAGACTCAAAATGACTCATAACACCATTAACTAGATGACAGGAAATATTCCTCCCCATTTTGTACAGTGAACACAAGTAGCTTGTGTCTTGCAATTTCAATTGCATTTCATAGAAAACCTGAGTGAACGGATTCTCCATCAGCAGGTGACTTCATTTGAAAAACAAAACTAATTTTGATCCTTTTCTGTGAACTTAATAGTAATCTCAAATAAAGTTATATTTACTAACTGTTTTTCAAAGCTACACAGTAAGCATACATTCACTGAAGACATTTACAGGTAAGAATACTGAGGTCATCCTCTACCCCTTCAATTTCTGGAAGTAAAAAAAACCACACACACTCAAATCCAGATAAACTGCAGAAGTACTACAGTGAAACCAGATGTATGGAGAGGTGACAGATGGCTGTGAGGTGTTCTCTGATTGTGTTTGGAATTGGTTTTATGAATTTGATAGCAGATTAAGAATTATGTGCTCACAATCCCCACAAGCTCTAGATACACTTGTCCTTTGAAGAGAAGATAAGCCACAGGCAGACAGTCCCCTACCACGGACTTTTACTGGAGACGTGACCCAAATTTTCAGGATTTCAAAATGGGAGTAAAGAGATAATCTGTGAAAACAGCAGAGAAACAAAAAGCGTAAAAATAATGTAATGTGTAAAAGGTATTGTTTAAATCATAATAAGCTGATAGACTGCAAAAAGAAACAAGAAACAACATTTCTTATTATCCTGGAAAGTGTTTCTCTCACCCCTACTCCCCATTCTCCCATTTCCTGGCACAAAACAAAGGACTTAAAGCTGGATGTCACTCATAGTATGGTAGTGCCATCCCTGAAAAATGCAAAAGATCATCAGCTGAACATACTGGGGGAACTGTGAAGAATTTTGTTTGGATTGGAGACAATGCTCAGGTCGGACACCTTCCCCTGCCTTTCTTTTTGGATCAACAAAGGCTGGGACTGAAATCTGAAATTCAGGTGAACACTTTCAATCTCATATCCCTACCAAGGAGCTTCCACCCACTAGAACATGGCAGCGGGTGGTGTTCTCCTTACTCATGGCAGATCCAGAGACAGACCTGCTTACAGTGTGCTGTCCATCAGAGATTTTGTCATCAAAAGATTTGTTTCCACATGGGGATCCTTATCTCTGAAACAGAACTCTCTCTCTTTGACAACAGGAATATCAGGGAATAGAAACTAGGCCATTTCTGATGGATAGACTGCGTGGCAGAGTATGGTGGGCCATTCCGCTGTTTATTGTGGTAACACAAATGCATTTGGGTACATGTGTGTGCTGAAAATAAGTTTTAAAAATTAAATTTCCTTTTTGCATTTCATTCTTAAATATCAAGCATCTTGTAGCAGGGATCATATTTTTCTTTCTGTTTTATAGCATCGTAAAAGATCCCTTAGAATGTTTTATTTGCAATAAGAAAAAAACCAGTCCTCTCAACTAAAAGTAATTCTTATTTTCAAGGACTTTTAAAATTCCTGAAAAACAATTCCAAAATGAAGTGAATGGGAGGCAACGATGCAAAAAGGATCTTGTCTCTATGGCTCCTGATTGCTGACCTTCAGAACAAACACGCAGAGCAGGTTTGGTTGGCAGCATTGCCCTCTCCTGGCCGCTCTCAGCATAACCATCGTGCTGAATCCTGGGCAAGATGCAGGACGAAGCACCTTGGAAGACACCAAGCTGAGCGATGCAACTGTTACAACAGAAAGAAGGGATGCCATCGAGAGGGACTTCGACAGACTTTAAAGGTGGGCCCATGTAGACCTAACGATGTTCAACAAGGCCAAGTATGAAGTGCTGCACCTGAGTCAGGGCAATCCCAGATATGCATACAGACTGGAAGAAGAATTCCTTCAAAGTAGCCCTGTGCAGAAGGACTTGAGGATCGTGGCAGATGAAAAACTTGAGTGAGCAAGTGTCTGTTTGCAGCCCAGAAGGCTGACAATATCCTGGACTGAATTAAAAGAGGAATGGCCAGCAGGGCAAAGTGGTGGTTGTTTCCCTCTGCCCTTGTACAGCCTCTTCTGGAGTACTGCCCTCATCACAGGAATGATGTAGAGCTTTTGGAAAGGGCACAGGGCACGAGGGTGCTCAGAGGGCTGGAGCACCTTCCCTACAAAGACAGGCTGAGAGAGCTTGGCTTATTCAGTCTGGAAAAGAGAAGGCTGTGGGGAGGCCTCATTGCGACCTTCCAGTATATAAAGAGAGATAAGAGAGAACAGGAGGGAAATCGACTTTTTACATGGGTAGACAGTGATAGGACAAGAGGGAATGGTTTTAAACGAAAGGAGGGAGATTTAGATTAGATGTCAGAGGAAGTTTTTCATGGTGAGGCAGTGAGGCACTGGCACAGGCTGCCCAGAGAGCTGTGGGTGTACTATGGAGGCATTCAAAGCCAGGCTGGATGAGGCCCTGGGCAGCCTGAGCCATTTCTTGATGTCAGCAACCCTGCCCATGCTGGGGGAGCTGGGACTAGATGATCTTTGACGATCTTTCCAACCCAAGCGATCGTGTGATTCAGTGATTCTGTGATTCAGAAGCACAGCTAACAGCGTGCCCCTCCCAACCTCCCCACGAAGCTCCCGCAGAGCAGTCACACTCACAGATGCTGCAGCAGGCTGTGGTGGGGGATGGAGCCCCGCGCCCAGCCGCGTTCCCATGCCAGGTGCCACAACTCCGCTCAGCGCAGCAGGAACGCGCCAGCAGCACAGCACACCTTCTGTCCTCAGTCCTGAGGGGGAGAAACAGAGGCGTCAAACACGAAGGGCAGCAGCGGACTCAGAGGTGCGGTGCTGGATGCACCCTTCTGTACCGCCCTACAGAAGGCAGCAATTCCCCTCTGCTGTGGGTGTATCCAGGGCAGAAAGTTGTTGCCTTCTGTAGAAAAAAATACATTTAAGTTTTAACATCCATGGACTTGGAGGAAGTTACACATCTTTTGTTTTCTTCCACACGTAAAGTGAGGATGGTGGACAGGATTCCTTCAGAGCATGTACACAAGATTCCCGATGACGTCGGCTTGTAGCACCCGTGGGATGTAACTATTTCCCCCGCTCCTGGAGGAGGAATCCAAACCAGCACTGCCAACGCAGCAGTGGGAATTGCTGATTTAAAACAGAGCAGCAGACAGGTGCCAGGCACTGACAGGCCGGGCAGCCGCAGCGCGGGGAAAGAGGGGGACCCCAGAGGGCAGGATGGGGCCCGGGGGCTGCGGAGCCCCGGGGAGGAGGTTCTCAGAGAGAACGGGGCTCCGGGTCCGATCCCGGCCCGCTCCCTGCCGCCGTACCTGCGCTCGGCCCGCGCGCGTCGCCGCTGCCATGGGGACGGGTGGGGGCGGGGCGGCCGCCGAAGGGCGGGAAGCGGGCGGGGGCGGGAAGGCGTGAGGCGCGTCCTCCCGTCAGGACGGGAGGAGGAAGAAAGTGCGAGTCGATCAGCTCGATTCAAAAATCTTATCTTTAATGTCCAACGAGCACTCTTGGGAAACGAAGGAGACAGGCTGTTGGAGTCTGTTAATCAGTGCAAAAGCAAGTTTTAGGAAAAGACTTCAGAACGCGTGACTTTGGCTTCTGATCAGTTCGGGGCTTGGCAATCAAGGCGAATCACTACCGCCGTTCCCAACGGAGGGCACTGGGGAGGCCACCTCCAGGACACGCCGTACCTCAGTAGGCTGCCCACTGAGGGGCGCCCAGAGGGCACGGCGGGGCGGGCTGCGTCAGACACGGGGTTCTCAGTGGTCTTTTCCAACCTCAATGACTCTTACACTGCAGGCCTTCTAGTAGCCCAGCTGGGTTCAGCGCGGATAAAAAGAAAATATCCTGTTCAGGTAGAAAAATAGACTGCCCCCATTCATGATTTAAAAAAGCCTTTTTGCAAACTTTAGTCTGGCCTTATAATAGCCGTGGTGATGTCTGCCGGACAGCACGAGCACAAAGACCTGTTCAGGTAGAACGGTTGTAGGACTGGTCCTCACAGCGCTTCTGTCTTAGCACACAGGACCCGTACCAGCTTTATTTTTTGTCACAAGGAGGAACTCCCTCATGGTTTTCCTTTCACATTTAGATGAGCCATGATATGCAAAACATTGCACATTTATAAAAGGTACCAGGATGTCCATTTTTCAACACTGGCAATAAACAGGTTGCTCCACGACTTGTGTTTGGCCGTGCAGACCATTACTTAGGAACAGAATGTGCCAACTACTGACTCAGGGCCCGAGGACACTGCTTGGGAGCCCTCTCAGCTCCCAACACCACAACTGTCACATGCAGCCCCGTGGTAGAAGATTGTGGACGGTTGCTGTCCTGCATTGCTAACACTATTTTAAACCCATAAGCAAATTCTCTAAAGCGTCTTCAGGAGCTTTAGCAGAAGACACCACATGGCATGTACTCTATGTTGCAGGGTTTTATAACTAAGGCTGACACCACAGAATAAAAAATTAATGGAGAAAAAGTGCAAAGTCCTCTTTAAAATTGTCCAGGATTCATTCACAGTGTCTCAGGTATGCAAACAGCCCAAGGACTGGGTAACTACCCTAAATATAGGCAGTGGTTTTAAGTGGCTGCCTTTCAGATAAGCTGCAGGTTTTCCTTCTTTCATTTTCAGAGAAAAGAGCTCATTGCTCACTTCTGTGCATGTTGGGGTAAGAATGTTAATTGGTACCACCCTTCAATGGAAGGAACTGTTCTGAATCCCTCGGTTAATTCTGTGTTTCTGGCCTTGGCCTCAGTGTGCTGTGCATGGTGGGAAAACATTGCTTTTTGAGAAAAGGAGATGCACGATGTGCATGACTGCAGTGTGCAGCGGCTGATACCAGAGGAAGACCTTACGGTAGTTGCTGCTGGAACTTCCATGCAATTTCCTCTTGCTATCAACCACATTCTGTTCTTAATATCAGCATAAAATCCTATGGCAACATCTCCCTTGCCCCAGAACAGAATCTTGTATGCTGCATTCCCACACAGAGCTGTGCAGAGCCAAGGGGAACAGGCTGGTTTTTGACCAGCAGAACCAGAGGCGACTATTCCTCATGTGAGAGTTAATGCGCATGCTCTCGTGCAGGTGGAAGATGCAGCCGCTCTGCTCTGCAGGCAGGCTAGATGTGTTCATGAAGTTAGCCTGAGCCTGCAGCATCTTTACGTCTGTGAAATCCTTTAGTTGCTGAAGGAGGCAGGGGCTACCAAGCTTTTTAAACCAAGGTCCCATTCTTGCTGTCGTATTTCAGTCTGGGTCGGGGGAAGTTGAGGGTGGCATACTCTGTGGCATTCTGCATTTGCAAGTTCTTCACCTCTTCCGCAGAGCGCTCCCGCACCTTGGTGAACACCTGGATGTCTGCATAATGAATGCTGTCATCCTGCTTTGTGTTCTTGGGTTTATTCACGGTAGCATAGACTGGAAACTCTGTGACATTTTCATACGCTGGAGCCTTTGGGAAAAAAAGAGCTCAGAGTCAGCTGTACCTGCGTGCCCTACATGCTACCCCCACACCACCCAGCTCACTGACACCTCAGGCTCAGAGACAGGCATCATCCTACTGCATCTTTTGCAGAACAGTGAGAAAAACTAGGCCCGTATCACTGCAGCAATGCACGTCGCTCCCACAGCCCTCCCAGACTACACTGGATGAGATATCACAGCTCGGAATGAACAGCCCGTGTCCGCCTGACCCATATAGGCTAGGAAGTGGTGGTCAATCCTGTTCTGCCAACATCCAGTCAAAAAACAACCCCGTGAAGCTGTTTACCTTCCTGCCAGGCTGGTGCTGTTGGCTCTCGTGTCTCACACTGGTTCCTGAAAAAGAGACATCAGCGGATCAGGTTAACACAACTGTTTATTGTTCCAGCTTTGAGTTCCAAAAAGCAGCATCTGGCACACGGGCTCTCTCCCGTGGACACAAATCAAATTTCCACCCCATCTGACATCCTCAGCCCTCATGCTGTCTCTGAGGCCAGTCTCCGAGAAGAAAGCCTGGGCTTGTTTCTTTGGAAAAAATAAGGTTTCCTGTGATGACAACATGCTGTGGACCACAATGTTCTTGGCAGAACCTAGAAGGATGTACACAGCACAGAGAGCCTCCTTGTCAGGCCTTTGGAGAAGTCAGAACCAGTTTTAACTTTGTTATTTCCTCTGCTGCCTGCAAACATATTTTGCCCAGCATGGTCCAAAGGCCACAGGACACAACTGGGCTATTAGTTCCTCCTTGCTTTATTCTAGGCACTGATGTCAGATGAATGTTTGCAGCTCTTATGGGAGTTTGATTCAGTTCCTGCTCTGCTGCATGACAGGGTCCTTACACACTTTTAGGTGCACAACTCAGATATTTTAGAGATACCAGTAAAGCCCCTTCCCATCCTCCTGCCAAGTCGCATGGCCTATCATCGCCCTTGCTTTAAGTTGCAATGAAATTTTGCCTTTTGTCTCTATCAGACTTCTCTTGAGAAAGGTCAAGTATGGAAGAGTTTGGGAGAGGACCTCTGCTAAGGGATCCATCTGCAGCCAGTGCTGATGAATGCCAGCTATTCAGGGGCTGATTTACTCCCACTGTTCTTGCACTCTAGAGCACCTTCACAAATCCTTACCTTGCTTTTCCTTCTTCCTTTTAAAAAGCGAAGGACAGTTCCTGGAATCAGAGAGAGACGTCAGCCTTGAGAAACTTCAGCATCTGCTTCCATCACATGTAAACTCAGAAGCACATCCCAAGGTTCTGCATTCGTGCAGGGAGATCCAAGAGCCCCTTCCCCCACTCCCCAGTCCAACCACCCCTGTTTGGGTGTCTGGGACTGCCAGGGTCCACTGGGAGCTTTGTGCAGGCTCCAGTCCTGCTGAGGGAATGAGGCACCTTCTGAATGTGAGTTAATTTTGCAGGGAAAAGGTCCAGGGTTCCCTCTTCAATGACTCCTTTCCTACACACTACAGACACCCCCAAGGCTCCTTGCCTTTCAGCCCTGTCTGGCAGTCCTATAATGCACAGGCATCAGTGTGAAGGAGAACATATTTCACTGCAACTATGTTTCCACAGCTGTATGATCAAAGTTACAGGATACTGAGCATGATTGCCATTAGAATGAAACATTTCTCTTAGAACAAGATGCTCTGATAGCCCATGCTTTGGCTTCCTTGCCCACCGAGCAGCTGTGCACAGCCAACGTGCTATTTTAATCTTTCAGTCTGTGTTTTTCCTGATTACAGTTTTCCACTTGAACACAACCAAACCAAACAAGTCACACACTTTATATAAGCCAAGCCAAACACAAATCTTGTCTGTACCTTTGTGACCAGAGAGAGAAAAGCCAAACATAACCATGTCCCAGACATGGTGCAAATAGGAGCCAAATTCATTCTGGATGCAACAGCAAAGCCAAACTCCCACAGTCTGGTGCTGGCTGGGCATCATGGCCAGAGCAGAGACGTGTCACATTCCAGGCCAGATGCATGAGACAAATGTTATCTTTGCAGCATGAAGCAAATGTTATCCTTGCAGAATGCTCGTATGGCTGGAAGGGAGCAGGTGCCAGCCCTGGTGCAGCTGCTCCTGTGCACACACATGCACTTAACAGAGCCTGCAGCGCAGCTGATTGTGAGCAGCTAGTGCTCTGAAGGGGGCTGGAGAGCTCCCAGAGATCACCCAAGGTCCATAGCATGTCCTGCATTTGCTGGACAGATCTGCCACAGGTAGGAGCAAAGCGGTGCCTGAGGCACAGCTTTTAGAGGCAGTTTTGGGAGCAACAGAGCAGGGCTGAGTGTTTGGTAATGGCTTTGGCGTTTTAATGGCAAAAGGAGAAAAGAAACGACAAATAACCAGGAGACCTTAAAAACAGCTGGTAATTATTAACCAGGAGCTGGGAAATCAAGGGTAGCTCTGGGGAATGGAAGGCCTGTACAAAAGGATCCAGCTCTGCTTCTTATGGTTTTGTCCTGGTGTGGTTCCCACCTGCAGATCCCCTTCCACTGTTGCTATGAGCCTGCAGGGTCTCCAGGGCCCTCCCGCCTGGCTTTGTGCTGGAGCTCTTTGCATCTTTGCAGTCAGGTTGTGGGCTGCAATTAAAACAGCACCATGCTGAAGTAAGTTCAGCAGGGTCCAAAGTCTCTTTGCTGGGAGGCACGTTCCAGCCCCAGCTTTCCCAACCGCCTTGGCTTGTTTTGGTTGTCTTCCTTTGTGGAGTGAGCATTAGCAGCCAGTGTGCAGTCTGGAGCTGTTCTGAGACTGTCTGCAGGCTAATCACAGCCAGGCAGGAGACAGCATCTCTCTGCTTCAGATCTGCAGTAATTAGAATGAATGTGGCAAGGGAAACGAGCAAGGCAAACTTCTCCCCTCTTCTTCTCAAAACCAGGTCAGACGTGCTGTAACTAACTGACAGCCTGCTGGATGCATGCTGTATTCTGCATGACAGCATGTGTCCCTGCTCCTGCACCGCTGCTTCTCCTTTCTCCATGTCATTACCAACCTAGTTTCTGCTTCACCTTGGATCCCAAATCCTGGCATCCTTTGCTGCACATGCACACTGAGGTGAGAATCCTGCCCAGGGCTGAACTTGCAGAGACACCCAGACCCCAGGGCACGCTTTCCTTCACTGACAGCTTCTGTTCCGAAGGAGTTTGCTGAAATGGATTTTCTTATGACTTCAGGAACCTTCTCCTTTCCATATTACAGGCAGGTACCTACCTACCCTTTTGTAAGTCTCAGCTTTAGTTAGGAAGCCCAGCTCTTTGCTGATGCTGAGCAAATACCCAAAAATAGAAGCATTACTGGTCCCCAGAAATACCTGAACTAAGATTAAGCAGCATCTTTTTTCCCTCTGTCACCAAGGCAAAGCCATGAATCACGCAGACCTCTGCAATAGGGCTTCAGTGAACTACAGTCTGCTCTTGGTCATGCTGCTCTGTGAGTGTCCTACAAGCCACATAACCTACAGCACAGACTCATTTACCTTCCACTCTCCTTACTTGTCTGTTCACCGCCTGTGCAGGGTAGGTAAGCGTACAAGCCTGAGGCCCTTCCTCTGCCAGGTGCTTTCTTGTACAGGACACAGTGAGAAGCTCCTGGGAGAGCTCCGCTTTGGTCCCTACACGGGAGTGAGTCTCGCATGCTAACATGAGTCTCACATGCTGGGGCAAAAGGCTCTTGGGCCAGAGCTTTGCCCTCTACTGCCAGAGGGGAGCAGGGAGACAGTGGTGACACCACCAGCAGAACCACCACCCCAGCTTCTAACTCTCTATTTGGGAAAAACACCCAGAAGGACACAGCAGTCCTAGTCCTGCAGCCTTGGGACAGAAGTTGGCATTCATCCTGAGGAGGCAGTTGCAGCCAGGCTGCCACCACACTGCTCCCCAGGAAGAACAGAGAGCTGCTCTCCTGACTGGGAGCCCTGACTGGGCAGGTGACCATCCAGCCTGGGTTTAGGCTTTCTTTAGGAGCCAGAAGTGTTTGTGCATGGCCTGGCATTGCTCAGACCTGGGGGTGCCACACGGTGCTTTTTGCACTCCAAGGGGCCTGTGTAGGCTCTTGTTCACTGCAGCCATGAAGACAGTGCCTTGGGCACCTTGTTTAACCCCTGCCATAGAGCAGAGGAAGTGGAAGACAAGGAGATGTCAAGAACCAGCTTCCCCCTTCCATTTGCAATTCCTATTCCTGAATCCCAGACTCTGGCTGTACAGAACCCCTCTTCGGCTCCAGCCACTAGTGATGCTGTGTCCCTTAACTATTAAAAAGCTCCGATGATTTTCTATTACTTGAGCAAATGCAGTGTTGGAGAGAAAGTCCCCTGCGCTTCACCTGATACCCACAGCTCTCCTCACGCTCTCAGCACTCCGTGCTCCCACCCGGCGCCACCCCGTGCACTGGGCCGGCACAGCGTGAGCGGGGGCTGAGCCGCCCCTCCTCTCGGGAGCCTGACAGCATCTGAACCCGAGCAGAGGGGCTGGGGGTGCTGCTGTCCTTCGGGGTAGTGCCACAGCCTGGAGGTTTTACCCCCGCTGGGGAACTTGTAAGGATTTCAACTCGATCCTCGCAGAACCCAGCTATAGCACCGACGAGGCAAGCCCCCCGCCCCGCCCCGCCCCGCCCCGGGCAGGTGCGAGGCGCAGCCCCGCTGCAGCCCCGCTAAGCGCTGCCCGAGTTTGGCTCCGGCCGCCGCCCCCCGCCCCGCCGTACTCACCACGGGCGCCCGCAGCTGCAGCGGTTGCCCATGTCGCTCCTTCCTCCATGAAGCCGGAGCGTTCTCTGCACGGGCACAGCTTGTATTTCCTGGTTCCCCGATCGGCCCCTGGCTATTCCAAGGGAGTGTCTGCAGGATCAGATTTCTCGCCGCCGCGCCGGGCCCGTGCGTGCCATCTACCGGGGGGCTGCCGCCGGCTGCCCGGGGCTGGGAGGGCAGTTGCCGGCCCCAGGGACCAGTCCTAGGGCTGGAATTTTGTCTTCCGCTGCCCCGCTCCTGGCATGCCGACAGGGAAGGGGTGCAGGAAGGATTCAGATGTTCCTGCGCAAGAGGAAGAAGAGCTCTAAAGCGGGAGCTCAGAGGGAACAGGAGCTGTCAGTTCTGTTCATGCGTAACAAGTGGGACGTCTGGAAAATGTGTGGCATCACCTGGGGAAGGGAGTGGATCTCCTGCGAGGGAGGCAGTGGCCCAGCAGAAGTGGGAGTAGGTTTATAGAACACATCTGATTGTTGAGCTGATACTTAATATCAAAGGATACTGTGTTGATTTTGCCCTGGAACAGAAACTGTGTCCCACAGCCTCAATTTGGCAGTTCTGTGCGAGTCTGAACACTCCGAGGGATGTGCTGACAGCTGGGGAAGCTCCCATTCTCCCTTCTGGTGGGCTGAGGGGTGGCAGCCCTGCTCCCAGCCACCCAGCTGTCTGCCCGAGCACAGAGCAAAGCCTGGGGCTTTCCCAGCAGTGGTGGGAGGAGGAGAGTTCTACCATACCTCAGCTGGGGGCACAGCTGCTCTCCTGGGGGAGCTGCACTGCAAGCTGCAGGTGTCTTGAGCTGAATCTGCTGCCCTGCACGGCTGGGTTCCCAAGAATCCTACAGCCTGGGCCTGACTGATGTGGTCAGGTGGGCTTCAGCCCTGCTCCCAGCAGGACCAGTTCTCAGGCTGCTGCACTCATGCCGGGTGGTCTCAGGAGTCTGAGTCCCCTTGGAAAACTGCAGACTCTGTGTCTCAGGATTTGTCCACAGACGCTGTTGATTCAGTAAGCCACTGTTTTGATTTCTGGGATAACTACGTTGCTTTGTGGAGAGGAAAAACAAAGAGGCTGGGAGCCTTTTCCCATCAGCACCAAACACAAACGCTGGAGCTGCTGCTTTGAGCTCCACTGGAGAAACAGAAAGGCATTGAAAACACTGGCAGAGTCGGGGAGCCCTTGGCTGCCACTCCTCATTCCCCTGCAGCGGTAGGCATGACGGGAGCCGCCCGGCTCCAGCATCGAGCAGCGAACGTCGGGCGCAGCCCCGGGCGGCACTAGGCAGTGCCAGGCCCTCCCCCCCCCCGGCAGCTGCCTTCATCGTATCTGGGTGACAGGCTACGAGCCTGGCACAGCGCGAGCCTGCGAGTGCCCAGCGATGAGGAATGAACTTGCTGGAGAGCGCGGCCGGTGCTCGTAAGAGAGGGATGAGAACTGTGTAATGGTTGTATTGCTGTGCGTTTGCACTGCAGTGTGTCACAGACTGGCAGTGTGCTGCGATAGGTACGGGTGCAAGGCAAGCTGGCATCACCGCAGAAAGAACTCTGAACTGCTGTAGGCACTTTTCTCTTAGGACCTGTGCCCTGCATAGAACCAGCCCAGGCCCCGTGACTGCTGCAGGGGCTCAGGTGGATGCTGTCAGTGGGATGGGGTGTGTGCTGGGGGCTGCACACAGTGGGGCAGTCCGCTCCTAAAGGACCAGTCAGTTCTTGCCCTTCTTGCCCTTACTGAAAGTCATTAATGTGGGATTATCTCTGAAATTATTACTAATAACCTAGACAAAACCTGTTGTAAAGGTGATTTTTATTTTGGCGTTATCTGAATTATTCACTGGCCCTCCTTCCTCACAGAGAGGAGAGCAGAAGACTGCAGCCACATTCTGACAGGAAGAGGCTTGTCCATGTGGACCTCAGAGCTTTTCTCTCTCCTTAGGAGGGCTGCACTGAGCTGTGCCAGGGCCCCCATATTTGGCTGGTGACACAGCATTCTGGCTGCTTTAATTGGCACCGACAAGGATTGTGCCTGACGCCTGCTGAACCCTGAGTCTGGCTGGGCAGCAGCTGCCGCTGACAGCAGCACACCCGATCCCCAGCCCCACGTCACAGGGTTGTTAAGATGTTTCTCATGTAGCCAGTAGCATCACTATATCTGCTAAAGGGGAAAAACTCTCATTTATGGGACTTTTCTCCAGACGAGCTCAGCATTAACTCTCCACTGCTCTGTTCCTTGCATCTCGAGCCGCCATCATCCATCCTTCCTGCTGCACAGTAACGTGGGCAGGGGCAGTGTGAGTCCAAGGCAAATGAGAGAAGCTTGGAGGCAGATTTATTCCTCTTTCCATTTGAGAGCTGTGGGTACTTAACAGCATTGCATCTCCACAAAGGCCAACAACAGCAAGGTGCTGGGGTTGCATGGGCAGGTGCAGAGCCTCAGACCATTGGGTGAGAGTGGCCCTTGCAGTGTGCGGTGAGAGAAGAGCATGGTGCTCAATGGGCACCCAGGAGAAAAACTTGCATTAGAGTCCCTCCCGTGAACACTTTAGTCCCCCTCTTTTTTCATTTCCAAGCCCCTTCTTCTAACCATCAGCCTTAAGAAGCAGAAGTCTGGCATGCACACAGCTGCGTCCCAGGCCTTCTAAACACTGACAGTGAGAAACAGGGGCCTGGCACAGTGACTCCCTTTCCTGCCCCCCCCCCCCCCCCCCCCCCCCCCCCTCGCTCAAGCCCAGCTTTGGGGCCTTTAGGACTCTTCCTTCCCTTTTCCTTCCTCAGACTGTTCTTCCTGCCCCACTGTCTGCTCCTGGATTATCTTCACTTCAATGATCCTAGCTTTCACCTCCTTTCCTGTTCGGGGTGCCATGATGCTCAGAATGCCATCGTGGGACAGGGTAGCTCTCATCAGCAAGGGGTCAACGTCCAGTGGGAGGATGTAGGTCCTGGTGAACTCTCGGGAGATGAAGCCGTGGCGGTCAGCCCTCTGGGGGTGCTGCCCCACCACCTCCAGCAGGTTGTCCACAGTGCGCACTGTCAGCTCGTCGGGCAGGAAGTGGCAGACGTCCAGGAACACCTCGTACTTGTGGTCATTGAGGCTGACCTCCGAGGTGCCTCGATCCAGCTGCTTGTTGATCCGAGGCCTGATGTAGTAGCCATGGTACAGGGCAGGAGCTAAAATCTCACATGGGGACACACCTAGAAATGAGACCCAGTGGGAAGTGGGGGGTTTCCCAGGGAAAGGGATGGAGAAGTGGAAAGGCTGGGTCCTGCAAACACCTTGATATTGCTGCTGCATCAGTTCTGCAATGGGGACAGAGGCTATGCCATTTCCTACCCTTGCACCTCCAGATTGCACACTCAGTGCCAAAAGGTTGTCTGCCACAAGCTGAGAGCTGACATCCAACTAGGGCATCTGCTGGGTGGACTGGGAGGGACTGGTGGGTGCATTGGATGCTCAGCAACGCAAAGCCCACGATTGGGGTTGGCATGGGAAATGCTGATGGTGAAGACACTGCCCTGAAGAACTAAAAAGGCCTTTTGTTTGCCATTGTCCATAGGGCTTTCCTTGGGTCTTTTTGCCTTTTCACGCTGTTGTGGCGATGCTGAATGGTTCTGCTGCTGCCCACATTCCTTCCTCTCTGCCAACCGTTGCTGGGCTTTGTGCTTAACACCCCAGCTCAGCTTTTCTCCACTGTTCCTGGCTACAAAATCTTCCCCCCCCCCCTCCCAGCAGTAGTCTCCTAAACTCTTCCCTGTCCTGCTGTGGGCAAGGTGGGGCTGCTGCTGGCACACCTCTCCCATAAGCAGGGTGCAGCCTCCCCTGGCAATGGAGAAGAGCACTGGGACATGTCCTGCACAGCCCAGCCTCTGTGGGGTGTGCATGAGATGGGGGGCGTGAGGGGGCAGCACTTTGCTCCGTGCTGCAGAGCACGTGCATGAATAACAGATCGCTGGGGGCACAGGGGAGGGACAGGGGAGCCAGCACTGGGCATGGAAGGAGGAAGTGGACCTAAAGAGAGAGCCCCTGGCTGTGCCTAGGCTATCTTCTCCTGGTTTTGCCTGGGTTCCCATGCTTGGGCTTCCTTGGCTCCTGAAGCTTCTCTCCAGAGGGACTCTGCCAGCCTCCTGCACCAGAAGACAGAGAGCTGCTGGGGGTCCCATCTCCTTGCTTACCTTCTCCAAAGTTCTGGTCGTAGATCTTGCTGGGGTTGGCGAACTCGTACTCTGAGCTCATGGGGTAGGCATGGGGCACCATCCGCGCGGCCATGGTGAGCTGAGGAAGGGGCCTGTCCAAGCGCTCGCTGCCTCTGAGAGCGAAGGCTGCAGATTGCAAGGTTTTAGTTGGGTGAATTCCACAGGGAGGAGTGTGTGATAAAAAGACGGACCAAAATAGCCTCGCGCACAGGCCCCGGGCCGCCTCGCCAGGGTGACGAGGGAAGCTCCTCATTGCATTCCTGTAGAGCTGCAGGCTCTGCCTGCTGGCGGGGTGCAATCCTGCACCCCCTGATTCCCCACCTTGGGCAGGGGACAAGAGACAGGAACAGGGCCCCCAACTGCCCCTGCCAACTCAGCAGGGGACAGGGCAATGCCTAATGGTGGCTGGTGCTTGGTCAGGTTGTGTGCAGTCATGCAAAGTCATCACTGTGAACTTAGCACTCAAATCAGCCCCACAGAAAGGGATTTGTTTTCCCAGAAGCTGTGTCTTTTGTTCCTAGGAGTGGTAAAGTGCTGCAGACTGCTAAGTGGCACTGAGCAGACCCTGATGCTGACACTCCAGAACTGCCACTGTGAGCCAGCTGTCTAGGCTGTGCCTTGGCCAGGGCTTCAGTGCTGTGCAGTGGGATCAGAGGAATGCCTGTGCTGGAGGTCACACATTAAGCAGGGTCTGAAGCTGGCCTACATCCACTTTTATTGAACTGGGAGTTAGTACCTAGTTAAGCTCCTCATACTCTGAAACCAGAGATTTCCATGTCTCTGCGTTGCGAGAGAGCAGGTGCACTACTGCTGACATAATATGGAACTGGACAAAGTATGGCTCGGGCTTCTGCAGAGGGTGGGTGAATTCTACTCCCTAATCTTACAGGCAAGTGAACAGGAAGAGGGTCAGGCCCTTTTGCAGGGGACTGATGGTGCTAGCAGTGAGAATTATGTGTCCTTAAGCCAGAAGGCTGTATGTAAGTTGCAGATACTCGGAGCTCTTGTCCTTTAAAGACAGCTGCTGGGCTGAACCCAGCCTCATGATCTGAACTGATTGCTGCAGGGCACAAGCAGAACAAGGCAGTTTGCATCCCAGAGAAGGCAAGCAGCAGTGCAGCTCTGCAGGGCTGCTGTTTGCCTGCTTTATCTCTGCTTGCAGAGTGCTGGGCTCTTCTGCCCTCTCCAGCAAAGTGGTTTCTCTAGTGGGCAAAGGGCAAGAGCTGATGCCCTGTGGAAACCATCTTTAGTGTGCACACACCAGCAGGTGCTTAGGTAGGGTGCTTACCAGTCTGCAGAGCTGCACACCAGGGTACCTCACAACAGACCTTTTGGGGTTCATGTTGCCCTCCAGCTATGGCCTGGGGCTTCCTTCACTTTAAGGGAAGGCAGAGCCCTTTCTAGGCGCGTGGGTGCAGTGGGGAGCTGCAGCCTTGGTGCCGTCACAGGGAACAACAGCCCCTTGTCCTTTTCCATGTGAGCCAAAGATAGGAGCTGCATTGATCCTGCTGGCATCCAAAGCAGCTGGGAACATCCGCCAAGCCTGCTTGGGACTCAGCAGATAAACAGCACGTGGGGTGTGGGGCGGGCAGCCGGGCAGCTTGGCTTCTTGCTGCCCCGTTAGTCTCCTTGTCTTCTTCTCCCTTTTCCCCTCCTCCTTAGCAATCTGTTCAAACCCCCAGACACTCCTGGGCACTGCTGAAGGGACCAGTCCCAGATTGGGACAATAAAATCCCTGACACCACTATTCGGGAGGCCTCGGGGGGAGAGGCCCCGCCAGCCACGCGGGTATAAAGCTGCCCCCTGTGCTGGGCACTGCACTGCAGCAGTCATTTGCTTGGCTCCTCCGTCACGCTCCAATGGATATCACCATCCACAACCCCCTGATCCGCAGACCTCTGTTTTCTTGGTTGACACCGAGCCGTATCTTTGACCAGATATTTGGAGAGCACCTGCAGGAGTCAGAGCTGCTCCCTACCTCTCCCAGCTTCAGCCCCTTCCTGATGAGATCCCCCTTCTTTCGGATGCCCAGTTGGCTGGAGACGGGACTCTCAGAGGTAATCTGCCCTACGTACTGCTCTTTGTTACTGCTGGGTGCACATCCTGATGGGTCTGGAGCTGGGAACCCAGGAGAGCTGGGATGCTGCTTGCGGGTGGTTAATAGGAAGAGCCTGGGGAAAAGAGTGCTGAGTTTTTGCCTCTGCTCCTCCGTGTTAGGTGAGGACCTCTGCACGCTCTGCTAATCACTTGTAACTGAGAGCAAGTATTGCCACAGCCATGTGCACAGAGACAAACCGAGCTCTGTGTGTGCTGTGAATGACTGCAGGAACTGGCAGGAGAAAGGAGGAAGCCTGATTTCTCTGTCTGCCCTGAAAAATTTTCCATTCTGCTTCCTCCTGAGAAGCAGAGGAGCGGTGGGACCCCCATGCCAGGCAGCATGGGAGCCCCCAGCTGCTGAGTAGAGAGGCCAAAGCTAAAGCATCTCTGGCAGACAGAGCAGTGTTTTCAGAGAGATATGGGATGGGAAGGCCTTTAAATGGCCATCTGCTTGCTTCAGGGGCTGAGGCACACAGCTCAAATGACCTTGTTCAGTGTGCAGGTCAGTTGTGTATTTGCAAATAACTTATAGAGCTACTCAAAGCCAACGGAGTGAGAGGGAAGTATTTTCTTAATCTTTGCTTAATGTTTCCCTTGGTTTAGTCACCTGGGTCTGGTCATCTGCTGAAGCAGCCATAATAAGCACCACAGGTAACAACATCAACATCTGACTTTCTCATTGGAGAAATCTTCACAAATAATCTAGCAGAAGGAGCAGGAAGCCTTCCAGGTAAAACTGAGGAAACCAGTAAGCTAGAACTGGCATGGAAGCTGCCTCCATGTCCCAGAACAGAGCTGCAAGAGGCTCGTGTGTGACCGTGACCACAGCAGGAAGGCAGAGAGAGCCAGCTTGCACTGCCGAGTCCTACTGACTTATCCAAGACAGGCAGAAAATGCAAATTCAACCTCAGGAGCCAGCAAAAAACAGCATTTGCTGGAGATGACAAAGTGCAAAATGGAAGGTAAGGAGGCAAGATGAGAAGCAGGTGACTCAGAGTTTCAGCAGTAGCCCTGCTGCTCAGATAAGAGAGGTGAGCTGGTAGTGCTGCTTAGCTGAGACATGCTATTTTTGTTTTTAAGGAGTGACGATGCAGGGAAAAGCCTGCAAGCGACACAGATGAGCTGTAGTCAGCTGCACACGCAGTTTCTTTTTCCAGAAATACTTAGCAAAATTCAGCTGCAGAGATTGGAAATCTCCAGACACCTCAGAAAAAAATTTGGTAGAAGTCAGTTTTAACAAATTCAGATTGAGAGAATCTCTTCCTTATTCCCCAGAATGTGTTTATCTTATGTTTATCCTGAGAGAAAGCATATGTGCTGTAGTGGTGGGCATGAATGGAACAGGCTAACAAGAGACAATCTGAGCCAGATAAGAATCCCAGGACTGAATGCAGGAGGTCAGACAGGAGAGCCCAGTGTGAGTGTGACCTGCTGCATGCCAAGAACCTGAGGAAACTGAAACCTTTGCCTGAAGTTGTCTCCTTGTTTTACAGATGCGACTGGAGAAGGACAAATTTTCTGTAAATCTTGATGTGAAGCATTTCTCCCCTGAGGAGCTAAAAGTGAAGGTGCTCGGGGACATGATAGAAATTCATGGGAAACACGAGGAGCGCCAGGTACTTCTTCTTTAACTGTGTCACTGTTAGTCAGTGTGTGCTTCCTCATCTATGGTTAAACAAGGAGGCTGCAGAATAATCCTCTTCTTTGCTCTTCTGAAACACTTCCAGTGTTTTTGATCAACCAATCCTAATGGATGATGCTCTGTCCAAACCCCCACCTGATTCCAGACTGAGCAGCAGCAGAGTGGAGATTTAGTGCTGGTGTTGCATGATCTGTGAACTGAACTGGAAAATCAACTTTGAAGTGAGCATTTCTGGGCCTCCCTCTTTCTGGGAAGAGGACAGGAATGCAGAGAGGCATTCAATAAGTTAACAATGAGCTGTAATAATTAAACCACATAATGAATCTATGCATTGCCCTGTTCCATTAGCAAGAGGAACTCTTCCTGAAAAAATACCCATTTACCAACTTCTAGTCCTTAAGGGTTGTGCTCTGCTGTCAGCTGTCCCACTGCTTGCTGGCTTAGTGGCAAATGGTCAAAGAGAGGCCAAAAGCCACGTCTAAGGCTGTACAAACAGGGATTGCCTATCCCCCTCTACTTGCAAGGAAACAAATCCTAGAGATAAAGTAGCTGTATCAGTGTACCCATCAGCTCCAAAAGCTTCTGGGAGCCCAGATCTGTCAAAAAATACCGCACTACTCATAGATGCTGGAAGCTTGTAATTCTGAAATAGCTTCTGCAAGGTTTTTTTTGGCAAGAGCTGAGATGAGCTCATTGGGGAGCTGTGTATTCTGAGGGCTTGGAGACCATCAGGAGGAGGGGCTGCTGGCTCTGGAGATAGCTGTAGGTCATGCATCTTAGCCATGACAGCACAGCACTGTGAAACAAAGCTGGCAGGCACAAGAGCTGGAGGGGAAAGCCTCGTCTTGCAAAGGGTGCCTGCACCATCTGCAGGGGCAGGGCAGTCTCTTGCTTCAGCTTTTTCTCAGATCTTTACAAAGGAAATCTCATAATAAAAACTCTTTTAACTTTCTAAAAAGTTTTCCTTTGGGAGCTGAAGCTTCCTGAATTCAGACTTTACACTAAAGGCCCATGGTTTAGGTTAACTGAGGGAACACTTCTAATCAGCGCTGTTCCTTTTCTTCTCCTTTTGAAGGATGAGCATGGCTTTATTGCCAGGGAGTTCAGCAGGAAATACAGGATCCCAGCTGACGTGGATCCCCTGACCATAACCTCATCACTCTCTCTGGATGGTGTCCTGACGGTGAGTGCACCGAGGAAACAAAGCGACGTCCCTGAACGAAGTATTCCTATCACCCGTGAAGAGAAGCCTGCCATTGCAGGATCCCAAAGGAAGTAGGCTGCTATATAATGTCACACCAGGGCCATTCAAGAGCACTTCTCATCAGATGCCAGCTGTACTCAATGGCCACTCTTATTTATTTATGCTGAGTAAGTTTACTAACAAATAAAACATGAATAAGCAGTCTGTAGTTTTTGGTTTGGAGCACTTGAGACAAGGGAAGTGTTGGCTCAAGAAAGCCATGTAAGTTTGTTGAATAGGGAAACATATCTGGCATCATTCTTGCTTACAGCTTGTGTGGCAGATGTGCCCAGGAGAGCTTGTCTCAGTGTTCAAAAACACTTTGCTGGTGTAACTTCATTTACTCTAATATTTTGCAAACATCTAACTGCATGAGCCTTTCTTTTCAGTGTTTCCTGAGGATTTCTGGGTGTTTCACAAGCAATAGAAAAGTTTCTCCAGTGGAAATTAGGCTGGTAGGACAACTTCATGACAATCGAAACCCATTCAAAGTGTGGGTGTCAGATAACAACTGAATGGGGAACAACTGTATCTTGTATTTCTAGAATGATTCATGCTATGCAAAAGCATTCAAGTGCTGCAATCACTTGGGAGCAGTTGCAGATGACAACTGCATAGCTGCAGTAAACACAGATACATCCAGAGAGGAGAAAAATGTCCTGCTCTAATGGTGCAAACCACATCACTCTGAAACTATGCTGTCCGTGCCCTTCAAACAATAAATAGCATCTGAAGTCTACAGTATTCATCTGATTTATGCTAACGCTGTTGTATGGTATGAAACAATACTAAGTCCTTCTCATGTGTCAGAATCTGCTTATGTGTTAGATTCTGCTTAGATACAAGCAGAAAGGAAAGTCTGTACTACTGAAACAGAATTTCTATAATTCCTGCCAAAAAAAAAAAAAAAAGAAGAAGAAGAAGAAAAAATGCAACAAATCTATTGTGAAGGTCATTGTACTCAGCTATGGCTGATGAGGTATTAGAACATGCTGTCCAGGAAGGAGGTGGAGTCACCGCACCTGGAGGTGTTTAAGGAAGGGGTAGATGTGGCACTAAGGGCCACAGTGGGCAGTGCTGGTGGACATTTGGACTGGGTGATCTGAAAAGGTCTTTTTGATCTTAATGATTCTATGATTCTATGACCCATTTTCTACATCCCTTATACCTGCTAAGACAAAAATTAGAAGAGGTCAGTCTCAGGTGAACTCAGTGGGCAAACTTCTTCCATGGCTTTAATGGAAAAGAATACAATGAGAACTCAGTGATGTGGGATCATTGTCAGATCCCATCTCAGTGCCAAGCTCTAGTTTAAAAAGTTCTACCAGGTAAGGTGCTAGTTGAGCTTCAGTGACAAAGTGCAGCATGACAGAAACTCACAGGTTAATTACAAACAATACAGCTGAGGAAGCAGGAGCAACATATTTCACAAGATGCTATATTTGGCTTTAATGCAGGACAGGTTGTTTTGGTTTGAGGGATAACTTTACAGCGCTGCTAACAGACAGGCCTCCTGTTATCCTGAAGGCATAGTCTGCAGATTCCCTTCATCTCTGTTGCTTTTTCTGCATCCTTTTTCTTCCTTCTGTAAGTGCTGTACATGAGCAGTTGCTGTGTGGAGGCCTGTAGTCAATTGTGTAGCAGGACTGGGCAGTTGATTTGAACAAAGGAGGTTCCAACTCAGGCTGGTGGCCTGGAAACCAATGAGGTTCTTGTTCAAATCCTGAAAGGAAAAACAAAGCCAACTTGAGAAAGAACATCTAAAATAGTAATAAGATATCCAAAAAGTGTGAATGGGGGGAAATCTTTTCTACAGAGCAGGGATTTGTTAGAATCACAGAATCATTAAGGTTAGAAAAGGCCTCAAAGATCATCTAGTCCAACCTACCACCAATATTTCCCCACTAAACCATGTCCCTTAGTACTACATCGACCCTTTCCTTGATCCAGGGGCAATGACTCTACCACCTCCCAGGTCAGCCTGTGCCAGTGCCTGACCACTCAGAGAAGAAAAGCCAGCTCCTGCTGGCTGCACTGCTGCTGACACAGCCCGGATGCCGTTGGCCTTCTTGGCCACCTGGGCACACTGCTGGCTCACATCCAGCTGAGCGTTGACCGACAGCCGCAGGTCCATTTCTTCCACAAAGGCTCAAACTCAGAAACAAGAAATGGGGCTTTTCAATGTAAACTTCTCAGGAATAAGTGTGATGAGGGCAGCTAGGCAAGAACACATGAAATGCGAGTGCCACTCCCTGAAAGACTCGAAAGACCTGTTCAGTGATGGTGCAGGAATACAGCTCAACAGAGAGAAAAAATCAGTCTGTCATCTCAGGGCAAAATGTCATCCAGAAAATCTTCTTTAACCTTGCTACAGAACAAACATTTTGTTTCAATTCTGCACACATACTTCTTGTTCTCTGGTCCTTGTCCTTGTTGTAATCCGAAGAATACGTCGTTTCAAAGCAGTGAGCATACTGGAAAGAAAAACTCACATTTAACACTGCCAAATATAAACTAAAAAATTCAGCATTTTGTACCTTAAAGGAGGTATCATGCACCGCAATCACACCCCTACTTTAAAGTCAGTCTGAGGTAAGATCACAAAGCTAGGGTGACTTCTTTGCATTCACCATCTCAGGGCAAAAAAAAAACGAACAGCAAAGGCACCGCAGTTTGACTGGAGCCACTATTAAGAGCAAGGCTGAGATTAAATGAAGAAGCATTTCTCATGGCTTCTGCCCTGCAGTGGAACTGTTGTAGAGTGCTCTGCAGAGGAAAGGGATTGGCTTTGCATTTTTAAAATCCAGTAGAAAGGACCAGGAGCAGGGCAGCAGAAGGGAAGCTATTCATGACATCTCTATGACATTCAAAGCTGATGGAATGGATAATGCCCTGTGTATGTGACAAATTCAGTGACCAAGGAGTATCTCAGCTGAGATTTGCTACATCCATGAAAGGCCCAGCACATACTTGGGAAGGAAGTGGTTTGGGTTGTGCAATGTTCTCAATGTCGTAGCGCTCTTCATTCCAGTTCCCCATAAGTACTTTGTGTGAGTAATCGTTCTCATTGGTGGTGCACCTCCAGCCAAACTGGGAGAACTTGGAGGTTTCTGTCCACACCTCCCCATGGCCAGTGGCATGCTTTAAGGAGCCAGTGAGGAAGTGGTACATGGTCTGGATTTGATCTGGGTGAGCAGCCCAGACTTAAACCACTCCTGACAGCACGGAATGTCACACCTTCACTTCCCCGGTAACCGGGCAGGGACGTCACCTTTCTGGCTGTGACGGAAGCATACAATCCTAGAATTGTTTGAGTTGATAGGGACTCTTAAGTGTCATCTAGTCCAATTTCCCTGCAGTGCACAGGGACACCCACAGCTCCAGCAGTGCTCACAGCCCCTCCAGCCTGACCTTGGCTGTCTGCAGGGACGGGGCACCACCGCCTCTCTGGGCAACCTGTGCCAGTGCCTCACCGCCCTTGGTGCCAAACCTTCCTCCTCATCTCCAGCCTCAATCTCCCCTCTTGTAGTCTGAAGCCATTTCCCCTTCTCCTATCTCACAGACCCCACTACAGAGTCTGTCCCCTCCCTTCTCACAGCCCCTTTAGATGCTGACAGGCCGCTTTCAGCTCTCCTTCTCTCGCCTTCTCTTCTCCGTGCTGCACAGCCCCAGCTCTCAGCCTGTCCTCGCAGGGAGGGCTTCCATCCCTGCCACCATTCCTGTGTCCCTCCTCTGGACGCGCTCCAACAGCCCCAATCTCTCCTGCCCTGAGGACTCCAGCTGTGGACGCAGTGCTCCAGGCGAGGTGTCCCAGTGCACAGCAGAGGGGCAGGAGCACCTCCCTGCCCTGCTGCCCGCGCTGCTCTGGCTGCAGCCCAGAGGCCGCTTGGCTTTCTGTGCTGCCAGGGCACACTGCTGGCTCATGTCCAGCTGCCACCCACCAGTACCCCCGGTCCTTTTGGGCAGGGCTGTGCTCTATCCTTACGTCCCCCAGCTCGTACTGACAGTGGGTGCTGCCATCACCCAGGTGCACACCTTGCACTTGTCTTTGTTGAACCTCCTGAGGTTCCCCTGGGCCCAGAGCTCAGCCTGTCTGGCTCTCTCTGGATGGAATCCCATTCCTTTAGTGTGTCAATGGCACCACACAGCTTGGGGTGTATCTGCAAACTGCTGAGGGTGCACTCGATCCCACTGACAATGTCATCAATTAATACGTCAGTGAGCACCAGCCCCAGCACTGACCCCTGAAGGACACCACTTGCCACCCATCTCCGTCCGGACACTGAGCCATTCACCACTACAGCCAATGGCATCAGAGGACTGCATTCATTCTAGATGTGACAAAGCTTTTTGGGTGGTACAGTAAGCATTTATTATCCTAAAGAAGGATACTGAATTTCTCAGCTTCATATGTAACACGAGGTAATTCAGCCACCTTACAAACAGAGCAATTCATTCACCCAGGCCACAGGACGCTGACGGCCCCCGCCGCCTCCCGAGCCGCTCGGGGCGCACAGAGCGCGGCGTCACCGGGCGGAAGCGCGGCCATTGGGGAGCCGAGCGATGGCGGAGCGCCGCGTTTTGCTGCTGGGCGAGGGCAACTTCTCGTTCGCCGCCGCGCTGTGCGAGACCGCCGGGATCCGCGTGGTGGCAACCTGCTACGAGAGAGAGGAAGAGGCGGCGGCGCGGGGCCGGGCCGCGGAGAGCATCCGGCGGCTGCGGGAGAGGGGTGGGTGGGCGCAGCGCTGCGGGGCCTCGCGGGTCTCGTGTGCCGCTCGGGGTGGGGCTGGCCGGGGGGATCAGTGCCCCGCAGGAGGAGCAGCGCTGAAGGAACCGTTAGCAGAACTCTGCGGCGGAGCAAAGGGAGCGTGGGCTCGCCTGCTTCCCTGACACGTGGGTGGCAAGGACAAGGATGGGTTCTAAAGTGGGCGAAACCTAGAATGGTTTGGGTTGGAATCCATCCTGAAAGGCCGCCTGGTGCCTCCCTGCAGTGCACAGGGACACCCACAGCTCAGCAGTGCTCACAGCCCCTCCAGCCTGACCTTGGCTGTCTGCAGGGACGGGGCACCACCGCCTCTCTGGGCAACCTGTGCCAGTGCCTCACCGCCCTCAGTGCCAAACCTTCTTCCTCATCTCCAGCCTCAATCTCCCCTCTTGTAGCCTGAAGCCATTTCCCCTTCTCCTATCACAACAGACTCCACTATAAAGTCTGTACCCTTCTTCCTTGCAGCCCTCCTTTGGATACTGAAAAGAGAGCTTTAATTACTGCCTTTATTTAAAATACTCCATAATGAGAGTCTTGGTTTTTGTTTACTTTTGAAGGAGCTGAAGTTATGTTTTCTGTGGACTGCACCAAGCTGAAGGACTATTTTTTACCAGCAAAAAGAGAATTTGACTGTATTTATTTCAACTTCCCTCACTGTGGGAGGAAGGCTGGGGTGGTGAAGAACAGAGAGCTGCTCTCACGCTTCTTCCATAGGTGAGTTGAGCAGAGTTAGTCCTGTACTCACTGACTGCTGAGATCACAGAATTGTGAAGGTTGGAAAAGACCCCTAAGATCATATAGGCCAACCATGCTCCTTCCACCAATGCTGCCCATTATTTGTATCCCTAAATACCACATCTCCACATTTCCTGAACACCTGCAGTGACTCCCCACCCCCTGGGCAGCCTGTCACAGCACCTGACTACTCTTGGAGAAGAAATTTCTCCTAATATCCAACCTGAGCCTCCTGTGGTACAACTTGAGGCTATCACCTCTCCTCTTGTTGCTGTTGTATGGGAACAGAGGCCAACCCCCACCTCACTACAGCCTTGCAGGGCAACATATCTTCCAGCACCACTGCAGCTCCTTGCAGGTGTTGCATGATTTCTGGCTGTGCTAACACAGTGCCCCTTGTTGCCTGCTTCCCTTCCAGCTGTGCAGAAGTGCTGACGCAGGATGGAGAGGTCCATGTGGCTCTTTGCAGGGGGCAGGGTGGCACACCTGCTGATCAGCCCAGGAGAGAGTGGCACAACAGCTGGCAGGTGGTGGCAGTGGCAGCAGGAGCTGGCTTCATCCTGAGCGATGTTCATCCCTTCCGAGCAGAGACTGCCCATGGCTATGAATGTACGGGGTACAGGTACCTGCGGGGTGGCAAATCAGAGGGGATACATCATGTCCTTTCATCATGCCTGCCACACTCATATGATCTTTTAGTATGTTGTTTATTGGAGAGAGAAACTATTTAATCTTCTGTAGAACAGCTGCAGTTCATCTTTGCCTATAAGAAGAACAGCCCAGAAGAAAATGCAAGCTTCTTGAGAAAGTACTTGAAAAGTATCTTGAAAAGATAAGATGGTCCATTTCAGAGTAAAAGTCAATCTTAGCCTAAAGACAATGTGGGGACTGTGGTATATATGTCTGATTGAGACAGTCACAGCATGGTTGATGTTGGCAGGGACCTCCAGCAATCAGTTAATTGCAGTTTAACTGCAGAGCTAGGTAGAACAAGTCACAAAGAGCAAGATGCAGACCACACAACTTATTTGTGCAGATTGTTTCAGTATTGGACCATTTATTTATGATCCATAAAAATATGCTAAGTTGCATTTTTGTTGTCTAACAAGATCAGGGATTCAGCAGGAGTCATGTTAGTGTTAAGGTGAATTATCTTTGTCACCCTCCCTTATGTCACATTAAATCTAGGAAAGAGTCAATGATTTTGCTGTGCTTTTATGTATTGCCAGGAGTCAAGATAAATCGTTCTGCATAGAGGGTGCTTTAAACCACGTTTTTACTCGAAGCACACCACTTCGGTATTGCAAACCTCTGATCTGTGAGATCGAACTGGAAAGAAAAAGAATTTCATTTCAAGTACCGCAAGTACTTCTGGATAAAATTAACAGGTAAGTTATACAACTGGTTTCATTTTGGCAGTAACACGTAAGTATTCTCAGTGGGAATGACCAGTATGGGTCTCTGATAAAATGGAACTGCTTCACATTCCCTCCTTTTCCCTGTACAGGATTTTCTTTCCTATTTCTTCTTGAAAAGTCAGCTTTGCGTAGGTTGTGGTTATGGCCTACTTAAAAAAAAAAGCCTATGGAAGAAAAAAGGAACTCTGTGGTTGAGGCCACGTTACTGTATATTTGCTCACGCAGATAATAACAAGAAGCCTTTTGATCTGTTTTACTGTATCTTGGAAGAAACAAGGAACTGACTTTGTATCTGCTGTTACTGCAATAAGAGGCTAGCTAGAAGTAAAGAGTGCTCATCTCTTACATGCCCTGCTGCATGCCTTGGAGACTGTGCAGGGCTAGGAAGAAGTGACTGGTTTCCATAGCTTGGTAATGCCAGTGATGACTGGAAATTTGGTGATGCTGACAGTTAAATTCCATTCCCTTCCACCAGCTAAAGCACAGGTAACACTAGGTTGCAGGCTAGAGACATGCCCAGCATCCTGACAGCATGTTAGTGGTTGCTGTGCCCCTGGTGAAAGTCTTGACGAGTTGCTGGAAGCAAGCTTAATGTCTGATATTGCTTTGAGTAAATTGCCATGCTTAAATTATGATGACAGGAGGACATTGCAGGGAAATCTGTCTGTAATTTGCATTTTTGTTTTTCACAGGGGTTTCCTAGAGCGAAATTCAAACCATCCAGTACGGACAATAAAGGAGAAGCTCACTGCAGTGCTCAGCCAAGCCTTCCCACTGCAGAGCATTGACTATTGTCTTTCTCTGCTCCTCCAAGGTCACCTGAATGCTGTTTGTCACTCAAACATTTTTTGGATCCTTCCAAGCCCAGATGAGACTCCAAGCACTGAAGAAATGGCCAGTGGGCGGGCAAACACAATTTTATTTTCCCATGTTGATTTTCATGGGGACACAGATAAGAATGTACAAGAGGGATGTCAAACTCCAAAACGGTGTTATCTTAGACCTTCCCTTCTGCCTTATGCTCAGGCAATAATAAAAAGTGCAGCCTTTGTCCCAAGAACACTTTACGTTTTTTCTGGCCCAGTTTTCAGAAAGTGCCGCATCTCTCCTTACTGTATGCCTGTTTTTCATGAGATGCTTTTTGTATGTGCAGTTAATCAAGGTTCAGAGAACAGCTGTATACAGATGGTAGTGGATAAAATTAAAACCAGCATACGTTTTCTTCACCAGACCATTTCTGATTTTAAGTTGAGCATTAGTATGCAAGAAGCAATGAGCTTGGGAACAGCTGAGCTCAATGACTTTGCTGCTTTTGAATCTCAGCTTGGTAAAATTCAGTTCTTCCTCTGCATGGAGGCAGATACTCGGGACTCCTCAGAGAGGGGCTCCTGTGTGGGTGCAGTAAGGACAGCTCCGTATGAGCCAGAAGGCAGTGATTTGGTTGTTGTCTTTGTTTCACTGAATCTGGACCTTGTGGCCATGCTCATCTGTGCTATAGATGACTGGCGCATGCTTTGGACATCAGACGCACGCTTCCTCCATCAGTTTCCTGCAGGAGAGCTACGGATTTTCAGGAGCTTCTCTCTCTACCCACCTTCTTATGTGCATGATGTCAGCTTTTGGCTTCCTGATGGGGAACAATTTGATGATGTTGCTTTTCACACCATTGCTAGAGAAGTGTCAGATGAAGCAGTGGCATCTATCCATTTGCTCGATGACTTCCAGCAGCCGGGGACGGGCCGGAAAAGCCTGTGCTGCCGGCTCACCTTCCAGAGCTGCGACAGGGCGCTGGGCCGTGGGGAGGTGGCAGCCATGCAGTTGCGCTTCAGGGAGGAAATCTCTCAGCGACTGCGTGTGGCCCTGCGGTAGGGCTGTGTGCTGCTGCTGTCTGCAGAACATGGCTGCATCTCACAGTGCTGTGTGGTGTTGCAGTGCCCCTTACAAAGGTGGAGTTCAGTATCTGCCTACATTGTAAATGTGGAAAATAAAAAGTGGACACCTCCATGCTATGCGTGTGTGTGTGTAATGAAAGCTTGTTTCTTAAAGTAGAGCCTTTCTTTGATAGGGTAAGCTGATCATAAAAGGTAAAAAGATATCAGCCCAAGCGAGTCTGAGAACACTCCATGAGGCTGAATGTGTGCACGTTTGTGGGGTCAGGACATATCATCCCCTGGTTCTGTAAGAACTGGCTGATGTGGTTGCTAAGCTGCTCTCCATCATATCTGAAAAATTGTGTCTGACAGGTGAAGTCTGTGGTGACTGGAAAAAAGGAAACATCACTACTATTTTAAGAAAAGAAAGGGAGAAAGGAAGACTCAGGGAACTGCAGGTCAGGGAGTCTTACCTCTGTGTCTGGGAAGATCATGGAGCAGATCCTCCTGGAAGAGATGTTAAGGCACATTGAGATGAAGGGATGATCCAAGACAGCCAGCATGGCTTCACCAACAGCAGAGCGTGCCTGATCCATCTGGTGGCCTTCTGTGATGGAGTTATGGCATTGGTGGGCAAAGGAAGGACAACTGATGTCATCAACCTGGAGTTGTGCCTTTGCACAGTCCTGCACCACATCCTTATCTCCAAATTGGAGAGAGATGGATTTGAAGGCTGGACCATTTGGTGGATAAGGAATTGGTTGGATGGTTGCAGCCAGAGGGCTGTTGTCAATGGCTCCACATCCAGGTGGAGGCCGGTGATGAGTGGTGTCCCCCAGGGGTCCATCTTGGGACCGGTGCTCTTCAGCATCTCTATCAATGACTCAGAAGATGGATTTGAGTGCACGCTCAGCAAATGTTTGGATGACACCAAGCTGAGTGGTACAGTGGACACAACAGCAGGAAGGGACGCCATCCAGAGGGACATTCCAGGGGGAACGGCTTTAAACGACAAGAGGAGAGATGTGGGTTAGCTGTGAGGAAGCAATCCTTTGTCAGAGGGCGGCGAGGCGCTGGCACTGCTGCCCAGAGCTGTGGGTGCCCCATCCCTGCAGGCACTCAAGGCCAGGTGGGATGGGGCCCTGGGCAGCTTGAGCTGGTGGGGGGCAGCCCTGCCCATGGCCGGGGGCGGCACTGGGTGGCTCTGAGCTCCCCTCCGAACTGAGCCGTTCTGAGATGACTGAGATACAGCAGCGCCGTGCTGCAGGCAGTTACGATGGCTGCTCCTGCATTAAGGCACGCACCGCACGGCGAGGCTCCCGCCGTTCCCGTCGCTCGGCCGTACCCGCGGAGCAGCTCCCGCCCCCGGCAGCCGGCGCAGGCGGAGCGCGGCCGTGCCCACGTGCCCTCACCCGGCATGGCGGCCGCGGCTTCGGCTCCGCTCCCGTCGCGTCCGCTGCAGGAAGCGAAAGGGCGGGCGGCTGCCCGGAGTCGGCATGGCGGCCAAATGGGCCCGGCAGCGGCCGCGGGCAGGAGGAGGAGGAGGAGGAGGAGGAGGGGGCGGAGGGGAGGCGGCCCGCTCGCGGCCGGAGGCGGCGGGCGCGGAGGAGGCTCGGGCGGAGTAGGTGTCCGTGCGGGGGAGCGGGGCTGCGGGACGCGCTGTGCGCGCGGGCGGCCGGGAGGCGGCGAGGGGCTGCGGGTGGAGCGGGAACGGCCGGGCCGGAGTCGGCGGTCCGACGGGAGGAAGGCGGCGCGGAAGGCCGGGGATGTCCTCGGGGAGGTGTTCGGAAATGCTGCGGCTTCTCGAGCCCTTGTGTGCTGCGAGGGACCTTCCTGCGCGCAGGCCGCTGTCAGCCTTCGCCCGGCGTCACACCGGCGGGTTTGCTCGTGTTACTGCGCGTTCGCAGTGCGTGTTTTGTGTGTGTTCTCCGCACCAGGCCGTCCGGGAGCAAGGCAGGGCAAGTGTGGGCCCCCGAAGGATCCACGGCCTTCAAGTGTCTCATCTCGGCCAGGTTCTGCGCTGCGCTTCTCAGCAACATCTCTGACTGCGATGAAACCTTCAACTACTGGGAGCCGGTGGGTGGCTGCCGCTCCTGCGGCGCTCAGAACAGCTCAGGTTGGAGGGGAGCTCAAAGCCCACCCAGAGCCACCCCCGGCCGTGGGCAGGGCTGCCCCCCACCAGCTCAGGCTGCCCAGGGCCCCATCCCACCTGGCCTTGAGTGCCTGCAGGGATGGGGCACCCACAGCTCTGGGCAGCAGTGCCAGCGCCTCGCCGCCCTCTGACAAAGGATTGCTTCCTCACAGCTAACCCACATCTCCACTCTTTTAGCTTAAAGTCATTCCCCCTCGTCCTGTCCCCATCAGGCTCTGTACACAGTCACTCCCCTCCTGCTTGTAGGCTCCCTTCAAGTACTGGCAGGCCACAACAAGGTCTCCCCGCAGCCTTCTCTTCTCCGAGCTGAACAAGCCCAGCTCCCTCAGCCTGTCTTCACAGCAGAGGTGCTCCAGCCCTCTGAGCATCCTCGTGCCCTCCTCTGGACCCGCTCCAGCAGCTCCACATCCCTCCTGTCCTGGGGGCCCCAGGCCTGGGCACAGCACTGCAGGTGGTATATTTCCAGCCTGGATCTGGTCTGCACAAATGTAGGCATTCTGACACCCTTTTGATAAACTGTGTGTTCAAACTGTCTGCGGTGTGAAATGCTTTATAAATATATGTTAATTTCCATTTTAGACACACTACCTCATTTATGGGAAGGGGTTTCAGACATGGGAGTACTCTCCAGCCTATGCCATCCGCTCCTATGCGTACCTGTGGCTTCATGCCCTACCAGCTTTGTTCCATGCTAGAGTCCTGCAGACTAACAAGGTAAATCAGATGCATCAGAATTGCTTTTGTGATGAATAAATGCACCTTTAGTTTGTAGTACACAGCTGCTTTGTTTGTTGTCAGAATTAAGAAACAAGTTAGTGTTTTTATAAATGTTAAGTCTACAAATGCTAACCTGTTTGTAAGAATTTGCAAGGGTTGGTGAGGGAATTTGAGAAGAGCTAAGGAAGAGTGCGCAGGCAGTTGTAGGGAAGCTTTGCCAGGATCTGTATTGGTCAAGGAATTGTCCCAAAAGGGCAGGTGTTGGCCCAACAGGGCCACTCTGAGTGTGGTTACTTGGTAGCCATGTACTCTCACTGGCCCCTGTCAGCTGTCACTGTTATCCCTTTATCTTAGAAGCTCCCGTTGTTTTCTACTCCAGCTATCAGTGACTGTTTTGATTTTTTTTTTCTAGTAAACTATAAAAGAAAAAAATAGTATTTTGCAAGATAGAATAAAAATAATTCAGGAATGTTTTGAAAAACAACAGTAAGAACAGAAAAACACAAATCAGTGGGCTTTCTTTCGGTTTGCTTTCTTTGTTGTGAAGGATGTTAGACTTAGAGGACAGGCCTTTTGCTGCCAAGAGCTTTTTTGGTGCAGGATCTGGACCTCTAGAAAAGGGTTCATTCACTGCTGCTGGAGTTGCTCCATCCTGTTAGAACCTGTGCTGTGTGGACTCGTTTGTTAGCAGTAGGCGTGTAAGCTTCATTGCAAACCTTGTTCTGAATCTGTGTACATCTCCTAGGTTCTTATCTTCTATTTCCTACGATGCTTCCTGGCATTCCTGAGCTGTGTTTGTGAACTCTACTTTTATAAGTGAGTATTAGAACCTGTCTGCTGCGAATATTTTGGAGCAATTTGGGTAGCATACTGTTACTGCCAGAGGAAGTATGCCATGAAGCTGATGTATAAACGTGCAAATGGAATTACTTCACAGTGAAACTTCAAAATAGATATTTGCAAGGTAACTTAATGAAATGCTGCTGAATATACAGTTACCTTGTCTAAGATGAGTTTTTTCTTTTGCTTGCTGCCTCTTCATTTGTGACTTCCGAACTATTGTGTTGCACCATGTTTCTGTTGGCTACAGTTTTGTTTTAAAGAATGTGAGTGAGGCCTTTTTGCTCAGAGAGGAGGTATACGAATCTGAGAATGATGATACAGTTTCTTCCTGAAACTTTTTGAGTAGAAATTACACTGGCAGAAGTCAAGTTTTGCACTTAGCATACTTAAGAAGATCTTAAATACAAAGCAGTCTTCAAGGCAGTCTTCAGAGTGCTTTTAGTGTCTGAGTAATGAGAGTTACTCACCTTAAAGCTCTTGGGATGCTCTGTGGATTGTTTGTGGCTTTGCATGCATTGACTACTGTTATTTCATGTACTGGGATTATTTTTGTGGCTTCAAATTCTCTTTTGCTTCCTTAGGGCTGTGTGCAAGAAGTTTGGACTACATGTGAGTCGTCTGATGTTGGCTTTCTTAGTACTCAGCACAGGGATGTTTTGTTCATCAGCAGGTGAGTTTATGTAGCAGTGACACCAGCAATGACCTTGTCCATAAAAACCAAAGGCATTTTAAGAAAATTTCTGTTGTTCTGTATGCAGTGGTGCAGGATATTTAAAGGGGTATCGGCCTATCTTCCTTTAACATGTTCTAATCCAAGGAGGATTTTGTCTTTTTCATCCGAAGAGGGGCTTTGTCTTTTTCTACTTTGGCACTGTCACCTGTCTTTGTGTCCTGTCCTCTGGCTGGCTGTACCCTTTTGCTAAGCCAGCTACTGTAAGGCTAATAAAGCACCTGCTGCAGTATTGAGTGAGGTGTGAAGACAGGCTTTGAGGAAGGGCTTGTTCTATTGTGTGTATGCGGAAACCAAAATGGAAATATCATAGCTTATGAATACTAGTATTTCCCCTTTTGTCTTTTATTTTTTTAATGGTGAATGGTGAAATGACACTGCAGTAACAGTGTAGGAAGTCCTCAGTCTCCTTGTGCTTCACTCACTTTTCACCAGTCTGTACCCAGTCTCTGAAACATTTCCTGCTGCTACTTGAGCAGATACTTTCCATTTTCTTTCTCAGTCTAGCAGAATATAGAAGGTAAAGCAGGTGCTGCAAGTGTTGTTCCACTGCAGTCTTAGGTGCTATCAACAGGTAACCAACCACTGCTGGGTAGCACTAAGGAGAATATTTCTGGCCTTGGCAGAACTGGAGTCCTCTCTGAAATGTGAATTTGCAATATAACATCCCACCTCCAGTGGAGGGAAGGAAGTGTTATTAGCCTTATTTTGCATCATGTAGTTTTGTATCATAGGAAAGCTGTGCTAAGCCCTTTCTTTTTTTTTGTTTTTGTTTTGTTTTGTGTGTTGCAGCTTTCCTCCCAAGCAGTTTCTGCATGTATACCACGGTTATTGCCATGACTGGTTGGTACATGGACAAGACCTCTGTAGCAGTGCTAGGCATAGCTGCTGGAGCAATAGTGGGCTGGCCTTTCAGTGCAGCTCTTGGGTAAGCAGAGGAGAACCCAGGAACTTGGCATTTTGTCTGATGTTTCTTGCCTGTCTGGGAATGATAATCTCTACTTGATGCTCGGTCTCTGTTTCAGGCTTCCTATTGCCTTTGACTTGTTAATACTGAAGCAGAGGTGGAAAAGCTTCTTAAACTGGTGTGTGGTGTCATTGATCCTGTTTCTGGTAAGTCGCTGTAGCAATAGAGATAGAGTGAATTGGGTTCACAATAGAAGGAGCAAGTTCAGTTAACAAAATCACTCACAGCTGTTGGGTGATCCAGCTAAAAACTTCTGGCACCCTGCAAATAACAGATGCTTTCTTTCAGGTGCCCCTGGTAGTTGTGGACAGCTATTACTATGGGAAGCTGGTAGTTGCACCTCTCAACATTGTTTTATACAATGTCTTCACCTCCCACGGACCTGATCTCTATGGTGAGTTTAAGAGAAGATGTGGGAGGCAATGGTTTTCTCCCTGCTGTCAGGGGACAGTTACACACCAGGTTTTGATGGCTGATCTTTTTCTGATGCACTCAGAGACATCCTGCGAGCTTTGAAGGGTTTCAATTCCAGCTCTTTTGCCACAGGATGTCTCTCTTGAGCTGGAATTTGACAAGGCACTGTCGAATATCTCGAGCTGGTTCTCTGTGCTGTGAACTAAGCAACCTTTATTCACTTTGAAGCCCTACCGGCCATCATGAGATGTCTCAACAACACAATATCACAGCAAAGTGCTGTTAATAGCAAATTTGTCTGTATGTAACACAAGTGTAGTAGGCACCAGTGGTAGGTGTATGTGTGTATTTGTCAGTTTTAATCCAGTTCTTGGTTACTGTTGTTCTTCACGGTCAGGCTGCGGAACCTTAGGAGGGTAAATAGCAGTACAGAACCCACAGTTCCTTCAGTTCATATCAGGTTTCTGATGTGCTTATATGCTGTGGGGTTACCATAAAGGCATCTTTGAGACTCTGGAGAAGAAAGAAAGGATAATAATTCCACCTGTTGGAATCATGCTGCATTTCAGCCAATTTGGCTCACAAAGGCAACACTTGATCTCCCCATTTCTTTTGGATGAACAAATTGAGGAGAAAACAATCATTCTGAAGACTGGTAAGTTAGAGAGAGTCAGTGACAAGTAATAACCACGCTTAGGCTCCTCCTGCCATCTTTTTAGAAGCTGTTTAAAGAAAGAGCTTTCAAGATATTCCCCTATACACTCTAAAGAGCTTATAGATACTCCCTCCTCTTTTTATTTTTTTCCTTAAGCAATGTAAAAATTACCTATGCTTTATGGGGGAAAAGCTGATGCTTTGCTTAAGCTTATGAAGGAGACAGAGCTAAAGGCAGTATTAATGTTTCATTTTGTACAGTTTTATGTTAGCAAAAAGTGAGAATTGATGCAGAAGGCCATTTCAGACAGTGTGCAGTTAGACATGGAAATTACTGCTGTGAGAAATAACTAAGCTGGTGGAATTCCTGAAGATCTTAGAAATAATTGGTGAATGTCAAGGAGCGTCAGCGTTGTCATCAGTGATATCTAATCAGTAGGCAACTCATCTGCCTTTCAGGACATTCCTGGTATTGGTCCTTTGGAATACTGAATGACCTAGGTGAGGTCTGAATCTTGGTGGCAGTGCCCTGGTACTTGTTAGGGAGCTGCTGCTGCACCAAGTAACTCTCACTACGTGCTTTTAGAGATAGAGAGTGGGAGCGTTACATTTCTAGTAGGGCTCCAGAGAGACAAGTGAAGACTTTGGGGTGCTCAGGGCAGGTTCTTTGCAGCATCTGTCATTCTTTTTGGAGGTATTCTAGGAAGGATTTGGCAGTTGTTGGTATTGAGGCTTTCTCTGGCTGTGCCCTGCAGGCCATATTCAGTGGTTTGTTTGAGGGGCTGTTTTGGGTGGTGCTGAGTGGTGACTTATTCCTTGTGCTGGGACACAACATGGCAGCAGCCGCTTTGTTGCGGTCCTTTATCTCTGCAGAAAGGCTCTGAAGTGAATCTTCTGCAATGAAAGCTTCAGGTCCTGCCTTTGGGTTTTGGAATGGGCTGTGCCTGACGTTTTTCATATTGGAGCATGAGTTGTTGCCAGCAGCCTCCAGGGACCAGTTTTTTTTCTGAAGGGTTTTATTCGTGGTGACATTCGCATGACATCCTTAGGCTAGTGAAAGATTCTGCTTGAAACTGCTCTTCAGTGCAATGTGTTCAGGACGTGAGTTTGGAACTTCAGAACGCTTCATTGTAAGGGAAGATGAAAGGCTGTCCAGTGCCTTGTGGGTTTGCAACTGGGATTTTCCAGCTTTGATATGTTGGGAATAATTAACCTCTATCATCTTCAGTGTAAGCACTGCAGTATTTTTTTGGTTTGTATAGAGACTTGAGTCTTAGAGAAAAGGCTGTGGGTTTTTTTTGTTTTTTTTTTTTTGTTTTTTATTTTTTTTTTCATCAGCAGTATCATATTTTTGGACTAATATCTCTAATTCAGATTCTCACATGCTGAGGATTGTACTGTTGTGGGACTGAAAAGAATTATGAGGCATGTGCAGGGAGAGAGAAGATGAGCTAATAATTCACTCCCTTAAGGATCTCTGCTTCCCTATACCTGAACTTGTAACTGCTGTTTGCTTTTAGTGCTTGCAGCTGCATGTTTTGTATATCTCAGTTGTTTGGAATTCTGACGTTAATAGAGCATCTTCTAATCATGTTAACAGTAGGAGCTGCAGAAGATTGTGATTTTTCTTGCTGCTTCTCAGTTGTCTGATTAATTGCAACATAGACCCTTCTCTAAGTGGCTGTAAGTGCAGGAAATTGCTGTGGCATGTGACTCTTGTCACAACAGTGCAGTGATTTAAGCACCCTCCTGTCACTCACTGACTGGTTGAACTAATCCCACTGCAAAAGTGGCAAGTGTGTGGAGAGGACCCAGCACTCCTTATTGTTCAGGATTTTAAGCATTGTGAATTAAGCATGCAATTAAATGATTGTTAGATGGGAATTTCTGTCAGTCCTTGCAACTAATAGTGTGTAGTATTAGGAGGCGGAGTTGGCTTGCTCCTGTTAAAAAGTATATTTAAAGACCAATTGAAGCAGGGAAACCTAAAAAAAAGTTCTGCTGCTGAGGAAGTAACAGAGCTGGCATCTGGATGAACTTCAGTTGTTGGGGTGAAGTGTGAATGTGAACTCTTGTTCCTCTTAGTCCATTTTCTGTTCCTGCTGACATGGTGTATAAATACATCATCACTCCAGGCTGATAATCATCTCCTATTAGCATTGTGTGGTTTTGTGTTGTATCTTTTTGTCACGGAATTAACTAGATCAGTTAATGCCCGTGACAGGGGGCAGTAGGCCCCTGCCTTCCCCACCCCCCGCCTGGGCCCACAAAATGGGAAGGTAGGGGGAAAAGGAAAAAAACAGCGGCAACAAACTATGGAGGTAAACTTATTTTACTAACTATGATATCGGAATGCAAAATAATACAATATAATACAATCTAATTGGAATTGAGACTAATAAGTCAAACAAGATATGAGAGAGAGTTCCCGAGACCGAGTCAAACCTGAAAAAGCTTGGAACGGCTAGGAAAGCACCCTCCAGCACCCACTGCCAGGCAGTAAGAGACCGTCCCCCCGGAAGGGTCAGATCCCGTGACTTCCGTAATGTATAGGGATAGGTACGTAGAGTTAGAGCATTAACACTTTAATTCCAGTACATGATGTTTTGATGTGGAATATTGAAAATCAAATAAAAAAAAAACCAAAACCATGACACTTTTATGTCTCTACAATTAGAAGGAATTTGGAGTAGAATTTCCTAATTTCACAAGTTTCAGCCTCTTTTCTTGCTTTGGAGACTTTCTTAGGGCAGGGGTGAATTCTGTGTTGCATAACCTGTTTGTTGCTGGGCAAGTCTGACTGTTAAACTGGCTTGTGATACATGAGCAGCACGTGTGATGTTGACTATGACCCAGTGGAAAAAAAGTGAAGTCACTTATGACAGAGAAAACAATTATTTTTTGTGCACACCTTTTCCATTCTTTGGTTTCGGTATATCTGCAGTGCAGAGAACTGCAGTCTGCTGGGTATCTTCCTTGTGTCAGGAAGAGAAGGAATGAAGTTGCTATGACACCCAGTTCTCATGCATCCTTGTGCTTAAAAACTCTTTCCCTTTCTCTTCTTTCAGGTACAGAACCATGGTCCTTCTATTTCATCAATGGCTTTCTGAATTTCAATGTGGCATTTATTTTGGCACTGCTTGTGCTACCACTGACTTGTCTCATGGAGAGTCTGCTTCAGAAATTTCATGGTGAGTGCGGGATGGAGATAAGAGCCAAGAAGGAGGATTTGCCAAAGAGCAGCTTTTCTTTATTGGAAGTGAAAGTAGGATCAGGGAAAGTTCATTATGGAATGAAGGAAAGTTCGTAGAGCTCATTACTTGGTTCAGTATTGACCCCACAATGGAATTACTGTGTAGAAAGAAGACGCAGTGAGATGTATCTGTTTTTGTGCTGTCTACAAAAGGGCAGGAATGTGCTTTTCCTGTTTAAGGATGACTCTTGTGTTTTCTGTCTTCACCTCAAGAATAATACTGTGTTGTCAATGCTAAACTATTCATACCCAAAATAAGCTTAACAAGTTCTACAGTACACAGTCTTCAGCCAGGCATGCAAATACATTAGCAATAGCCTTGTCAGAAATTTTAAGGTGGGAAGAAACTATGTGCCCATTGCTGTTTCTGTCTTCTTTGCAGCTGGAAATGGCAGCCTTTCCTGCACACTTCTCCGAAACTATTTTTTTTATCAGTGCCATAATGATTACTGCAACATCTGGGGAGAGCGGAGTTGTTTCTAGCTTTTCCCCGCTGAGCCTGCCAAAAGGCATTCTCTGGAGTCTCGTGCTGCCCATGTTGGGATTGAGCCTGGGCTCTGTGTGCTGTGAATGGGCACTCTCTAACTTGCAGAACTGAGCCCTGGCAGACAATCTTGCTACTGTCTGCACTGGGAAGTATTCCCACAGGCATGGATATACTGAGAGTAGAGAAAGGGGGGACTAGAATATCCCCTACTTCATACTGGGCTTTCTCTTAAGTAAAATAACATCAGCTGGAATACGTGGTGTCTGGCAAATGACTATATAAGGAGAGATGTGTTGAAAGCATGAATTTTCCCTTGCCATTTTCCAGAGGAGGGCTCATTAAATGTCAGCTGATGCCTCCAGTTTCATCCGCTCCAGCAGAGCTGGGGCTCTGCTCTCTGATTTTTTACTAAATACAAGAAACAGTAATACCATAATCTTTGGTGATAATGTATGTTAGTGGCTATTTGCAAAATATATGTTCTTTGGATGTGACTGACAGTCTGTCAGAAACCAGTAGGAGCTCAGCAGGAGATCCTGTAAATGCAAGATTTCCTGCTGCTCATTTGGTGTTGCTTTTAACAGCAGGAGCCACTCTGCTGAGTGCTTTGTTCTTACTGTCTGTGAAAACACTGTTAGCTTAATTGTTTCTCTCTGCTGCTGGGAGTAGCAAAGAGGCAGAAAAGGGATTGAAAAATGTTAGGAACTGTGGGACCGGTCCTCAGTGTGACTAAAATTCAGGGTAACTTTTGTTACTTTTGAATCAGTTATTACCTGCATTGAGAGTTTTGCTGTTATTTTTATAATGAAGCTAGGAGGGTTGTGGAAACACCAGAGTCCAAACAGCCATTTAAAAGCAAAGGATAGATCCAGAGGAGATTCATTCTGATCTCTGCATGCATAGCATAATGCACAGCAGGACAGGCAGTTTCTGCCTTCCTGCCTGCTTGGGAATGTCAGTTCTTGCTGGATTTTGTCACTTATGTAGATTCAATAACCCATTCACTCATCTCGTGCATTTGTCTTCAAGAGTCTGTTGACACTGTTAGTGTTATGGGAAGCTGTGACAGTTACCTGAGCAGAATTGTGTGCTGACTGGATGTATTACCTAAATTTTAGCTGCTTAGAACACAGTGCATTTGCCTGAAGGCTGTGAGTTGGTTCTGAAGAATGGGCTTTTGAATATAGATGTGATAATGCACCCGATGGGTGTGTGTGCAAGAGGAAGAGTAGTGTAAATGTGCCATGTTGCTACTCTGCTGAGCGCTTGTTTCTTTCAGTTCAGAATCTGGGCCGTCCCTACTGGCTGACACTAGCTCCTATGTACATTTGGATCATAATTTTCTTCAACCAGCCCCACAAAGAAGAGAGGTTTCTCTTTCCCATTTATCCTCTCATATGTCTCTGCAGTGCTGTGGCTCTGTCTGCTCTTCAGGTAAGTTTCTGGAATATGGGTTTTATTGTTTTGTTATGAACTCATAGCTTTAGGGAGCTAAGTGCTACCTCCCTTTTTTAGCACTCTTTCCGAAAGCTTGGGAATATGTGTAGAGTATGTGTGGTTGTGACACAGTCTATAATGATTACGTAGTTCAGGACTGTCCCATGCATAACTTCTGGTCACTTTTAATCTGCTAACTAATTTTCATTTTTGGACCATGTTTTATAGATAGGTCATGAGAGTCTGGAAGCAAAATGCATTAATACTGAACTGTGTAATGTTGATTTTACAACATAAACCATAGTCTCTCTATATAGTTTGACTGAGAGTATGTCAAAATCTGTTAGCCCTCTGTAAATTGTGATTACAACAGCAAAAAAATACTTGGGATTTCCCTCTTTGGATAACATGCTGAAGGATCTAAGCTAATAATTTTAGCCTCCAATACTTCATAATAGTCTGTCTGGACTATTAACATCCCCATCTGGGATTATGTCAAGTGATAAACAGTTGAAAATATTTCCTCAACTGATTATTTCATGATGACTTTGAGTTCTTCCGTTTTCCAGAGGGAATTGCTGGTGAGGAGTTCTTGTGATGTTGTGGTGCTGACATCACATCTGAGAGATATCACAGCGATTGGTAACTTGCTTGTAGTAGTCCCACTGATTTGAAAAAGCAATCTTGCTTAGGCATAAGGAAATTGTTCTGGGCATTTGAAGAACCAAAACCTATATTGAGTAAAAAGCAGCTGTGGTGTTTCATAGAGTAAAGCATTCTAAACTAATATCAGCCTTCCCAAAGCTCCAAATTATTCATCTCTCCTCTGTGAAAGAGGAGAAGGATTGCAGTTATTCATAGAATCATAGAATCATAGAATCACAAGGTTGGAAACGACCTAGAAGATCATCTAGTCCAACTGTCTTCACACTACCACTGCTGCCACAAGCTACTAAACCAGATCTCGCAGCTCCTCGTCCAGATGCCTCTTGAACACTGCTGGAGATGGCGACTCCACCACCTCCCTGGGCAGCCATTCCAGTGCCTGACCACTCTGAGAGAAAAAGTTCTTCCTTAAGTCTAACCTAAACCTCCTCTGGTACAACTTGCGGCCATTTCCCCGGGTCCTGTTCATTGCCTGGGAGAAGAGGCCAAACCCCTCTTCACCACAACCTCCCTTCAGGAAGTTGTAAAGTGCAGTGAGGTCTCCCCTGAGCCTCCTCTTCTCCAAACTAAACAATCCCAGCTCCCTCAGCCGCTCCTCATAGGACTTGTGCTCCAGACCCCTCACCAGTTTTGTTGCCCTTCTCTGGACACGCTCCAGGGCCTCAATGTCTTTTTTGTAGTGAGGGGCCCAAAACTGAACACAGCACTCGAGGTGCGGCCTCACAAGAGCTGAGTACAGGGGATGATCACCTCCCTGCTCCTGCTGGCCACACTATTTCTAATGCTGGCCTTCTTGGCCACCTGGGCACACTGTCGGCTCATGGTCAGCTGAGCATCAACCAACACCCCCAGGTCCCTTTCTTCTTCACAGTCATCCAGCCACTCGTCCCCAAGCCTATAGCGCTGCATGGGGTTGTTGTGCCAAAGTGCAGGACCCAGCACTTGGCCTTGTTGAACCTCATTCCATTCACCTCAGCCCAGCGATCCAGCTTATCTAAGTCCCTCTGAAGGGTCTCCCTACCCTCAGGCAGATCCACACCACCTCCCAACTTGGTGTCATCTACAAACTTACTGAGGGTACACTCAATCCCCTCGTCTAGGTCATCAATGAAGATATTAAACAAGATGAGCCCCAGCACCGACCCCTGGGGACACCACTTGAAACAGGTTGCCAGCTGGACTTCACTCCATTGACCACCACCCGTTGGCATGGCCCTCTAGCCAGTTTTTTACCCAAAGGAGTGTGTACCCAAAGTGTACCCAAAGGAGAGTGGACAGGTACACACTGTCCAGGCCACGGGCAGCCAGTTTCCCCAGAAGAAGCCTGTGAGAGACCATGTCAAAGGCTTTTCTGAAGTCTAGGTAGACTGCATCAACAGCCTTTCCCTCATCTACCAGTCGTAGAAGGAGATGAGGTTGGTCAAGCACGACCTGCCTTTCATGAACCTGTGCTGGCTGGGCCTGATCCCCTGGACACCACGCATGTGCCGTGCAATCTCACCCAAGATGATTTGCTCCATTACTTTCCCTGGTACTGAGGTCAGGCTGACAGGCCAATAGTTCCCCGGATCCTCCTTACGGCCCTTCTTGAAGATGGGAGTCACATCAGCAAGCCTCCAATCCTCTGGGACCTCTCCAGTTAACCAGGAGTGCTGATAAATGGCCGAGAGCGGCTCAGCAGTCACCCCCACCAGCTCCCTCAGCACCCGAGGGTGCAGCCATCCGGTCCCATGGACTTGTGACAGTCCAGATGGAGGAGGAGTTCTCTGACTGTCTCCACTTGAATTGCTGGGGGTGTTTTCTGAGTAGCATCCCAGACTTCCAGCTCAGGGCATAAAATGCCCAGAGGATAACTGGTCTGGCTATTAAAGGCAGATGTAAAGAAGGCATTGGGGACCTCAGCCTTCTCTTTGTCCTCAGTGGCCGCATTCCCTGCTGCATCAAGTAAAGGATGAGAATTATTCTTGGTTCCTCTTTTGCCATTGATATATTTATAAAAGGATTTTTTTATTGTCTTTTACTGCAGTGGCCAATCTGAGTTCAAGTTGGGCTTTTGCTCTCCTACCTTCCTCCCTGCATACCTTGGCTACTTCCTTGTAATCTCCCCAACTAGCCTGTCCCTTCTTCCAGAGGATGTAGACTCTCTTTTTCTCCCTGAGTCTCAACAGTAGTTCTTGGCTCATCCACACCGGTCCTCTACTCCTGCAGCTCGCCTTACAGCACTCAGGACAGCCTGTTCTTGCGCCTTTAAGATTTCCGTCTTGAGGAGCGTCCAGGCTTCCTGGACCCCTTTACCCTTCAGAAGTGACTCCCAAGGGACCCGTGCTGCAAGCGCCCTGAACAGATCGAAGTCCGCCCTCTGAAAGTTCAGAAAGTAGTTTTGCTGGTCGCTCTTTTGACACCCCCAAGAATAGAGAATTCTACAATTCCATGGTCGCTCTGCCCAAGACGGTCCCCAACCTTCACTTCTCCCGCCAGTCCTTCTCTGTTAGTGAAGACCAGGTCTAGCAGGGCACCACCCCTGGTAGGCTCTCCTACCAGTTGCATAAGGAAGCTATCTTCCACACAGTCTAGAAACCTCCTGGACTGCTTCCTCTGTGCTGTATTATACTTCCAACTTATATCAGGGAAGTTGAAGTCTCCCATGAGATCAAATGCTGGCGATCGCTTGACTTCCGCGAGCTGCTCATAGAATGCTTCGTCCAGCTCTTCATCCTGGTTAGGCGGTCTGTAGCAGACCCCTACCAAGATGTCGCCACTACAGGCCTTCCCCCTGATCCTTACCCATAGACACTCAACTCTGTCATTACTAACCCCAAGCTCTTCAACATCAAAACAGTCTTTGATATAAAGGGCCACACCACCACCTGTCTTTCCTCGTCTATTCCTTTTGAAGAGCTTGTAACCATCCATCACAGCACTCCAGTCATGGGAGTGGTCCCACCATGTTTCAGTAATAGCAACAAGGTCATAATTAGCCTGACTCACAATCGCTTCCAACTCTTCATCCCTGTTAGAGCCTACTGCAGCTGTTCTGCCTAGTTCTGTTTCTGCTCTTGCCCTGAGCTTCCCTCACCACCGCAGCTGGTTGCTCTTCTGGCTCTTGATCTCTCCTTACTTACTGCTGCTTTGCACTGCTAGGCTGGAACTCCCCAGATGCATTTTGTCTTTGCATTTGTTGCAGGATCAAGCTCTGTAATGTCAGCAGTTTTGTCTCTGAAAATTACCTTGTGTTTGTTGGAATGTTCAGCAGATGACAGCGGTTTAGGATGTTTGCAAAATACAGTTTTAGAAATCCCTAGTGTGTATTTCTAGAATGAATACTTTAATGTACTGTTTGACATCCTTTTGTCATCAGGGTTGGTCAGTGCAAGCAAGTTCTGCAGGAAGTCTCTGGAAGGGTCACTTGCTGGTGATTCACTTGGGAACAACCAATCTAGAAGTCCATTAGAGGATGCTTTACAGCTTGACTAGAGGCCATCCTAGGGGGAACAGCTGAAAAATTTATAAATACCCTAGATTCATAGTTAAGAAACTTGACTGAACCATGTAAGTTTCTGTGTATTTCTTATGTGTTAGAATGAAAAATGTTGACACGGACCAAAGACCTGGTGGAAGATGTAGGCAGTGCGTAAAGGTCCATTTGAAAAACCGTTATGATAAAATTGCTCAAACTCTGAAATGTTTATATGCTCTTTTTTCTTTCCTCAGAAGTGTTACCACTTCATATTCCAGCGCTATCGCCTGGAGCACTACACGGTCTCCTCCAACTGGTTGGCACTGAGCACTGTCTTTCTCTTTGGCCTTTTGTCACTGTCACGCTCTGTTGCCTTATTCAGAGGTTAGTATTTTACCACTGTTCTGGGCTTTCCTGGGTATTGGTGTTGGCAAGTCACAAGGCCAGCCAAAGTCATGCTGGTCTAACTAGGCGAGCACAGTAAGGATAAGGAAATCTGAAAGCTTGGATCATATTCCAGGGAGAGGAATGGTGTCCTCATTCATGTCTGTACATACACACACATGGTGTGTATTATGTATGTCACTAGAATTGTATCAGTTAAAAATTTTCTGACCTTCACCTTCAGCCCGTACAACTATAATGATGTACAGTGTGCACCCAGACTGGTATTTAATAGGGACTTGAAACTTGCAGACATACAATCTGACTTGAAATAACAGTTTCCAATGAAAAACTTGTCATTAAGTTCATTTGTCCTTAATGGAGATGCATTAAAGATCATACCCAAGTGCTTTCCTGAATCACAGCTGTGTAGTATGTTTCCACCTCATTGAAGTTAGGCAGCATCAATACTTTTTGCTGGCCACTGACTGTCAGAACAGGAGAATGTGAAGAAACTTTTATAGAACAAGCACCCCTTATGGGATAGGGAACATTGGATTCCAGTTACTTCTTAGTACAGACAAATTATTAATTCAGTAAGTAACCAGTTTAAAAATATAACTGAATGTTTACTTGTAGTGTTTTAAAAGAAGTCATGCAGATATTGTCTATTTCTTTAGCTGTATTTACAAAGTTCTGCCTCCCATAGGCTACCATGGGCCTCTGGATCTGTACCCAGAATTTCACAGGATTGCTACAGACCCAAGTATTCACACTGTGCCGGAAGGGAGGCCAGTTAACGTCTGTGTGGGGAAGGAATGGCACAGATTCCCAAGTAGCTTTCTTCTGCCAGACAAGTGAGTTGTGTAACGTGAAAGTTATGATTTGGTGCTGGTCCATAAGGAGGGTCATTTCACACAAGAAATATTCTGGGAGTAACCTTCAAAATCTTGTATCTCTGTTGACGACAGCATGTCCAAAACAAAGGATTTAGAAGTTTGGTGTCAACAGGCTGCTGGTCACAACTTAGTGACAGTTTTGTAGTGTGATTGCTCATCTAGAAGAGCTGTCTGTCCTTGGGAATGAAATTCCCTTTGTTATGCTTCTGTTTGATTCTGTACAAAATGTGACTGCCTCCTGCAGTTTTCTGCTGGGATTTCTGACACTGTTCTCTGCAGTTGGCAGCTCCAGTTCATCCTGTCAGAATTCAGGGGCCAGTTACCCAAACCATTTGCCAAGGGACCAGTGGCCACGCGGATCATTCCCACAGACATGAACGACCAAAACAAGGAAGAGCCATCTCGATATGTGAGGATTACATTCTTGTTTTACGTTCCTCACCTTACTGTGCCATTCATATTAATGCAGTGCCTAGAATGTGGTTGGGTTTCCCCATTTTGTATTCTATGGACAGTACAGTTAGAAACCAAAAATGGGCTCTCTGCAGGACTTGGATATTTCCTGACTGATGTGAGTCTGGTTTCTGTTTGGACTTCATCTTCTTATTTTCCATTTAAAGAGGTTGGAAAAAATTAAAAAGGAAAAGGTAATTCCTAGTTATTGCAGTTTTGAGTTTGCTACAATGTTACTGTGATCACAGGAAAGTGAAGTGATGTAGTTTGAAATTCCCAACAGAAGATATTTGTCACTGAACAGAGATGGGAATTTTCTTTTGTACTTTCTTTTAAAATATGAATATATTTGGCATATTTGCAACAGAGGAAGAGGATTTTAATTTGGGAATCAGTGAAACAATTGTGTCAGTGATTTCTGTGGGAAGCTGTTAATGTACACTGCTATTACTGCCTTGTTTTTGTATTGCCCAAACAAAAATAGTTCATGCTTAAAAATATTTTTAAATTTTTGTTTGCTAATTTCTTTAAAATTATTTGGCAGATTAAATCTTGGAAGTGCACCGAATATTCTTTGTGATACAGATATTTAGTCATCTTTTCTTTGCTTTCCTCGAGAGTGAATGAGGAGGACTGCTCCTATATACCTTTTCTTCATCCCCTCTCAGTACCTCGGAGGATGGATTTGATATTTGGAGAGGGAGGTGATTGCCCCCCTCTACTCAAATCTTGTGAGACCCCATGTGCAGTACTGCATCTGGGCCTGGGGCCCCCAGCACAAGAAAGATGTGGAACTCTTTGAACAGGTCCACAGGAGGGCCACTAAGATGATCAGAGGGCTGGAGCACCTCTCCTGTGAGGAAAGGTTGAGGGAACTGGGCTTGTTTAGCTTGGAGAAGAGAAGGCTCCGGAGAGACCTCTTTGTGGCCTTCCAATATTTGTAGGGAGTGTATAAACAGGAGGGGGAGTGGCTCTTTATGAGGGTGGATAGTGATAGGACAAGAGGGAATGGTTTTAAAATGAGACAGGGGAGGTTTAGATTGGATATTAGGAGGAAGTTTTTCACACAGAGGGTGGTGAGGCACTGGAACAGGTTGCCCAAGGAGGCTGTGGATGCCCCATCCCTGCAGGCATCCAAGGCCAGGCTGGATGTGGCTCTGGGCAGCCTGGGCTGCTGGTTGGCGACCTGCACATAGCAGGGGGTTGGAACTGGATGAGCACTGTGGACCTTTGCAACCCAGGCTGTTCTGTGATTCTGTGATATTCTGTCAGTACATTAGGAGCACTCCTGTAATGGATCAGGTCTCTCCTTTACATGAGCAGTGTATCCTTGTTGAGGACAGTGGACATGCACTTCCTTATGTGGTTCATTACTCTGGCCAGTTAAACATTTCATGAGCACTTGTGATACCTTCAGAGGAGTGAATGGAAGGCAGCACTGTAACACAGGATTTCTACACATGTGGGTAGAAATCTGCTGAGTGACAGCTCTTTTATTTTGGGATTTGTTAGATAGGTACTGGAAATGAAAGGAAGCAAATTCCCACCTGAGAAAAGTTCTCTGCTCTGCTGTATTTAATTTAGGAAATCTTCAACTGTGACATATTTATAGTGTAGACAGCTGGCTGGCACATACCCTGTTACCAATGGAATGAGAGATGCTTTTGTTTCATGGTTGTTTCATAATATCATCCTTTACTATTTCTCAAGAAAGCAAAAGGGCCTGGAACATGTTTAGAAATTAGCTACTTCATGTGAATTTTAAACAGGGTTTTAAAACTTTTGCTTCTGAGCTGTTAATACCAGGAGAAGCAGGATTTTTCCTCAAGGACTGTAGGCATACCCAGATTTAAAAACAAAACAAAAAAGTCAATAGGAACTTGATGGCAAAGGACCATCCTAACAAATATATCTAGATAGCATGTGTCTGCTGGGAGGAAAACAAAAAACCACAACAGTTCAGAAGAATGGTCTGAGTAATGGGCGGCTTAAAACCAATTAATGTCTGCAGGAGTGAGACTGATTTCAGTGTTTCATCTGTGAGCATCTATTACTGCTCTGCTTGAAAATTGAAGAGTAAAATCTTCAGTCTTCTCCCCTGTTGTTTGGAACATAACCTAACCTAGCTCTCCGTCATTTAGTTCCATCAAATAAAAAGACTGGGAGGAGAAAAAAGAAAGAACTGAACGAAGTAGGATGTAATTAGAAGTTTGTTTCTCATTCAGTTCACTGAGACTGATTTTCTGCAGAGAAACACTTCAGGATCTGTACACCACTAAAATCTTGTGTAAATCCTCAAATAAATGCGTAGTTGTGCTGGTCCTCTGACCAGGATGAATGTTGTTATTGCTTCAGTGTGACTTGTAAGAGAACACTGTGTTCTACATGAAATGGTAGAAGTGGAAGTCTCTCTATGTGGCAGATAATTCATAAACATTGGAGGTGCAGCATTTGGAGTTAAAGAAGTGAGATCTGCCTTAGTGCTCAAAGCAGTTACTTTTGTTTCTCCAAGAGATTCTATGTAACTTAGATGAAATATATAACCACATTGGTTAGTGGTTTGGGTGTCCTCTCCCAGGGCCTGGAATGTTCTTCTGATGCAGTGCAAGAAATGGATTCAACATTCTCATTAGCTGAGTTTCCCATGGTGTCGTTTTCATTTACTGTTCAGTTGTGATGCCATAGAGCCATCTGGTGGCAAAAAAAATCTAGTTATATTTTGGGCAGTCAGAAAATCAGTCTTTCTTCTCTCCTTTGCATTTCACAAGGATGAAACATCAATGTGGCTAATGAGGCTGTTAGTGTGCAGCCTCATTATTGTTTACTGACTAGGAATTATAAACTATCTTCTGTTCCACTTAACCTGAGTAAAGATTCTGATTGGGTCATTTTCTGTATCTAAATGTATGTATTCTAGTTCTGTGATGTTTCCCAGATCAAAATATCCTGATCAGTGGAGGATGCAGCCTATGGTTACCAGGTTGTTCTATATTCCACTGGTGGCTTTTTTTCAGAAATTTCAAAACACCACAACGCTTTAATGTACAATGCTCAGTGACATACAGTGGCAGAATGGGAACTGTTAGACCCTTTGTTATATGAGAGCACTGACATATTGCAAGGACGGGGATAACAGGCCAGGAAAACCAGAACAAGCATCCAGGAGTTCTGGGCATTCTCAGCTGACAGAAGGAAACACTAAAGATGGGACATCCAGGATGGGCAGATTTGGGGGGTGCATGACTGCCTCTGAGGTCACTACTGTGAACTTTTGCCGGAAAGATCAGTCTGTGTGCCAAATGTGAGAATGAGTGACTCATGGTTTGCAAAACCTAGTGCCGGCACAATCTGCAGGTACAGAGGCAATAAGTGCTAGGAGTTGCTTTGCTCCAGTGGCTAAGTCATGATGCCACCAGAAGCTCAGCCTTGCTGCTGTACCTGTGAGAGGTTCCATTCAGTGGTGCACTGCAATGGCACAGCCACCCTGATGCAATGTAAACATGGCCTCAGGCTCTAGAGTTCTTTTTGAAAATGATTTACGGTGTCACTTAGACACAGTTAGATGTTCAAGAGGAGAATATGAGCCTTTACTCGTATGTACCTGTCTTATTCTCTAGATCTTTTGTGCTTATTGCAGTAGTTTCTGTACAGTGCAGCCTTGTGTTGAGCTGCCTTGTACAAAACTTATCCTACATCTCATGCTTATTGTTAAAAGGGAGTTTGTCCTGATAGGAGCTCAAATCTCTATATCTGATAGTTGATATTTGTCTCAGCAGCTTCGTGTATTTCTGCAGGGGAACCTGGAAGGAATGAGGAAAACAGGGGCAGGAGGAGGGAGCTGTTGCCTAAAAAGGACAGTGCTGTGTATGAATAAACAATATTCCCTGCTCATACCCAAGAGCACTCTTCCCCCACTGGAAGAAAACAGATTGCACAATGCGAGGACACTGAGGACACTGCCCACAGCTCACTTAATGGGGAGATCACACACACATAAATCACTTATGACATTGCTACCTTGAATACATTTTCATAATTTAACCAAGTGTTCCCAAACATTTTGGTCTGGCTAAAGCAGTTAATTGCGTCAAAGGCAGCTGACAAAAGCATGACTGTGCTGATAGCAAGTGCATGTGGTCTGAGAGGTGCAATGTGATGTCCACCTACTGCAAGAGAGATGGTGAGGGTCACCAGTGCTACAGACCAGGCTATTCCTGCACAAACCCAGCATGATTTGCACTAGATAACATGCTTGCAGTTCTGCGATTGCTTGCTTTCCATGACTTGGTCAGTACCGTGGGACTTGCAGAGTTATGGAGTTTGTGTAATCATTTATTGGGTTTGTTTTCCTTGTTTGTGGTGTAAAACAAGTAGGAATGAGTAAAAACTGAGACAAAAAAATTAAATATTCAGTTTAGACACCAGGAAACCTTTCCAGCAATAAAGATAATAAAGAGAAGCCCAGGCTTCTCCTCCTGTGGTAGCAGTAGTGAGAGCTTTTATTCCTCAATAAAAGTTTTACTTGAAGACACTAAGTATCTTTTACAGTAAAGTATTTCTCATGTTGCTAGAAATTTAAACTCTTTCTTACAAGTGTGTAACAGCTTGTATGAATAACAATTCCTGTATGAATGCATGCAATCAGGAGCCTACAGGAAATAAACAGCAAGAGTCTTTCTTTTTACAGATCAACATTTCCAAATGCCACTATCTAGTGGACTTGGAAACAGCAGCTGAAACCCCAAGAGAGCCAAGATACTCCTCCAACAAAGAGGAGTGGGTAACCATTGCCTACAAGCCATTCCTAGATGCTTCCAGGTATGTTTTATTGTTTGAAATTAGTGAGAGACTGACAGATCTGTGAACTGATTTTGTGCAATAATCTGCTTACAACAGCTGTATACAGGAAAGAAAGATACACTGGCAAATGCCAGCTTGAAATCCAGTTTCCTGTGAAGGCAGCTTGCTGGCTACAGCAGAACCTTTGTCAAACTTGTATGTGCAGTGTTAATTACCTAGGTTGCTTTAGAGGGTGAAGCAAGCCAGGAAGAGGGGGGGAATAAGGATTATTTTTAAAAGGAGTCCTTCCTTTGTGCTTCTTGCTGGTGTAATGTTTCTTCTTTTCCTTTCTAAAAAAGTAAGGTGTACATCATCTTTTCCCAGCATTGCCCTATTTACAGCCAAACACCAGCACACTGCCAAGCATAAATGTCTGGCTGACTGCTCAGGATTGTGGCTGAATCCACAAGTAGAGGGAGCGTTCAGCTTGGCACTTCTGGGGGAAATGCTGAGTGTTTCTTGATAGTAACTTATTTTTAAGCAAAGCAGCAGAAACTTGTACGATCATTTTGATTTGAGTAACAGTTTGGGTTCTTGTAGCAAAAGTAGAATCTCACTGTGGGGCAGCAGCTTGTTGCAAGGAGTCTTAGATGCTCAAACTGCAGAGCATTCTGACTGAGGAAGCAATGAGATGAAAGGGCAGAAAGCACACTAGGTGTTGGAAATTGATGAGCTGGAAGGATCCCAGAGCCAGTGGGTCTGTGGGGAGAGGTCTTCCCCAAGTGTGACGTGAAGGTTTGAGGGAAGGGTCAGTGGAAACGCATCAGGAGCTTCATGCAATGAACCAGGCTGTGTGTGTCTCTGAATGTGTACCTCCCCCTGCCAGCTTAGTGGAATGATACAATTCTTAAAGCTGGCACCTGCTTCCCTGCAGTGAGTGGGAAGTGCCCCTTGCTATCTAGGAAGTAAGTGTAAAAGCACTGTGAAAATGCAGCTTTTTTTGATGAAAGGGAGGAGGGAATAGAAGAGTGTTACTTCAAACTGAGCTGTGAGGGAAGCAGCCAGTGGAGATTTCAGGTCTGCAGCTCAGTGGCTGCAGAGCAAGAAACATTTAGAAATAAAATACAAATCCCTGCAGATCTTGTTCTCTGAAAATAAATGTGCTCCTGCTGAACTGGAGGCTTCTGGAACTCATTGTCTCACGTTGATGTCAGCAAGTGTAAATCTCAGCTGGCTCTGATAAATGATGCTGTTAACTGAATTAGAGAGCACTCCAAGCTGCAATTACGCTCCTCAGGAAACTGCTTTGTCCAGGTCCATTTAATTCTATATTGGCTGAGCACTCCAGTCCTGCCATAGGAGAGGGGGAATAGCTGACAGCTCCCTGCAGAGGAGCCCATTTTCCAGCTCTTTAGGCTGAGCTGCCTGCTCACTCCAAACACTTGTGCTTTCACGCATAGATTTTCCATCACAAAAAAAAAATACATATTCTTAGTGTAAGATTAATGATTCAGTCACATTATGCTAGATGGTTTGATAGATGACCTTCTCATTCCCCTTATATCATGAAATGGTTTCCATGCTTTTATGTTACAAGTAGCTAGGTCACTCATCTGGGGCATAGAGATTCTCAGAGAGCTTTGGTCATGAGCTTCTGTTGCACGCCCATGTCCTGAAGGTGTGAGGTCTGACTTGTGTGGCTTCTTACTGCCTGTTCTTTCTGGCATTTCCTTCACTTCTTCCTTGTCAAGCTTCATTTTAAACTGTCTGGAGTGAGAAGTTCAGGTTGCGAGACGCAGTTAGGAAGAACCCCCCCACCCTCCTGTGTTTCCAACTGCTTCCACTCCATGTCAGTCTTTGCATCTGGGAGTAGTGACATGAACATCTTCACTTTATCCTTGCTTCCACTGGTGTTAGTAGAACAGGGCTGTTGAGGCCAACAGGTAATTTGCAGAAATCTGCTCAGCACTAAGTAGCACTGTGGTTCCAGTTCTGCTGGGCCTATTGTCTGCAGTGCACCTCTGTCCCAACTGGAAACTGCTCTGGGTGATGCAGCTGTTGTTTCTCTAGAAACAAATAACCCGACCCTGCCATCTTTGAGGCACTCCAAGACCTGAGCAGAATTTGCCTGTTGCCTGGCTCTGACCTGGAGCCAGCCTTTCTGCAGCAGTGTTCCATGTAGCTTGGAGTGACTGTGGACTTCATCTTGCTACCAACACGTTGCTTATGAGCAGTGTGCTGATTAAGGCTACACACTCATGATCTCCTGGGGCCAAATTTAGAAGCAAATGCAAATAGAACATTATATATGTTAACTGTCATTTTCATATAGATGTCATCTGTCATCTTCACCCCTTCCTGTGCTGTCTATCTGATGAAGTGAGATGGCAAGAGGTAAAGATTTGTCTGACTTGGGAATTGTTTCATGGCTTCTTGAGCTGCAGAAGCATCATCAACTGTGAACTTCTTACTAGAAGCAAGGCCTCCAGGACTCTGCTCCTTTGTTACCAGCTGCAGAGAACACTACCTTGCCTTTGTCCATGCTGGAGTCTTTGTTTTACTGAGAAAGTTGTTGCTTAGCAAGCACAAAGAGTGAGCTTACCAGTGTTGTGTGATATCATTTGCCATGCCATTTTCAGGGATTCATATTTTTATGTTTCAGTTTCAGGCCCCTCACTACAAAAAAGCCAATGGGGCCTTGGAACGTGTCCAGAGAAGGGCAACGAAACTAGTGAGGGGTCTGGAGCACAGGCCTTATGAGGAGCGGCTGAGGGAGCTGGGATTGTTTAGTCTGGAGAAGAGGAGGCTCAGGGGAGACCTCACTGCACTCTTAACTACCTGAGGGGAGGTTGTGATGAGGAGGAGTTTGGCCTCTTCTCCCAGGTAACAAACAGGACCTGAGGAAATGGCCGCAGGTTGTACCAGAGGAGGTTTAAATTAGACATAAGGGAAAACTTTTTCTCTCCCTGGGCGCTGGAATGGCTGCCCAGGGAGGTGGTGGAGTCGCCGTCCCTGGCAGTGCTCAAGAGGCGTCTGGACGAGGAGCTACGAGATCTGGTTTAGTGCTTGTGGTAGCAGTGGTGATGGGAAGATGGTTGGACTAGATCTTGTAGGTCCTTTCCAACCTTCTGATTCTATGATTTTATGAGAAGAGCACAGGAATTTTGGAGTTTTGCTCATCAAAGTTTGTCTGCCCTTCAGGCACTTGTGGAAGAATAAATGATCAGAAAGATTGAGAGAGAAGAGACAATGCCAGGAGTTAAACACAGCCTTGCTATCTTTTGCCTTCAGGATGTGCCCTGATGAGTGGGAGGCAGCTGTATGATTCTGAAGGCCCACAGGGCTGTACTGTCTGCTCTTTGGACCCTGATATCCTGGAGCTAAGCTGCTTTTGATAAATACCCTTCTTTTGATAAATACCTAACTCTAACAACCCACTGGAATGGCTAGCAGGCAAGCTGATGCCCTCAAGTTGGTGATGCTGGCACAAACCAGCTTTGGTCCCACGGACTAGAAGAAAAAGGGACTGGGCTTTGTATGCTTGTTCCGATGGCATTCCTTGCATCACTGACTCACCAGCAAGATCTTTTGTAAACCTTCTTTTGTGTTGCTTTGAACATATTAGCTAATGAATGCTTTAAGAATGATTTATCTTTTCCTTTCTGGTTTCAGGTCTTCAAAGCTGCTGCGTGCGTTCTACGTCCCTGTCCTCTCAGAAAGGTACACACAGTATGCAAACTATACTATTCTGAAATCCCGAAGATCAAAGCAAACCAAGAGAAAAATGGGAGGCTAGCAACATGCCTGGGTAACAAAACCAACTGACAAACTGGGACAGCTGTCTAAGCCTTCTTCTGTTTCCTTTCTGAAAGATTGTGCTTGTAAGATCCACTAATAAAGATTTCCATGCATACTCTGCAAGCTTCCTGCTGTAAGGATATATCATCTGCTTTCAGTTCTCAGAGCCAGGTATCTGCTCTGACTGCGTAGAACCTATTGGTTTAGAACCAGCTGGGACATCTAGCACCTCCTACAAACATATTATCTCTGCTGCTCCCTACTTATTCTACCAGGAAAGACAAAAATGGAAAATAAAAAGAAGTTACAATATCAGGTTCTGTTCCAGGTTGTAGTCTGGCATGTGAAAAATCCAGCTTTACTCCCCATTTCTTTGATCTTTATCTGTTTAAATGGTGTTCACCTTCTTCTAGGGTTATTTTTGTTTGGACAACAGATCTTACAGTTGCTTTTTTGTTGTTCTTGCTTTTCCTTTTTAAACCAAAAGGAAGGGGAAAAGAGGAAAACACTTGAAAGACAATTAACTGTGAAATGCACTGAATCTTGAGTGAAGCAGCGTGCACCATGGAGAAACAGCTTGAAGGTGCTTTATACAGAAGATACCTTCAAGGAAAAACTTGCACTTTTGGGAAAAAAGGCTACCACAAGCTTAGGAATTGAGCCAATTATCTGTTTTCAATGGGACTGGGTTGCTTTTGTTATATTTGACACTATGAAACACAAAGGATTTGCTCATTACTTATAATTTTTTAAAGATACCTGTAACATGCTTTCAGTTCTGAATACAGTATCTTAAATTTCTGGGTAAAGACAGAGATTAATTTTATTTGTTTTAAAATCTGTTTTCTGAATCTACCGGGTAGAGTGTATTTATTCTATTGTTCTAATATGCTCCAGGGGAATGCTGTATTTAATTTTGTCTTCATTTTAAAAGCATGCAGTATTGCATGCTTAATGGAATTGTTTTCACCTGCATTCTTGGAACTGTACAGGAACAGGATGGCAGGAGATTGGAGCAGAGAGGAAGTTTCATTTGCAGAAGAGGCTATGCAAGTTGCATGCTCTGCTGACTATGATTACATTGGAGTGTGTATGCAGTGACAGAATGCTGGAGCAGGAGGATCAGGGAGCAGATGGGTTGGTATCCAAATGGGAAAGCACGTGTCCCCGAGCAGCATGTGTGGGTGCAGGTGCAGGATGTTAGGCCAGTCTGCAGGTTAGCATCTGAACAGGATGGCAAGGAAAAGTGATACCAGCAGGGCTGTGATCTAACATGGGAGAGAGCAGGAGGAGTGGGATGAGAAAGAAAGCAGAGGTTGAACTGTAGGAGAAACTTGGAAATGTAGGGAGAGGCATTCTGAATCCTCTGCCTTTCACTGGAAAATTTTTCAGTGGTATTGTGCTCTGATAGACAGCTTGTATATGTATGGTAAGAGCAAATGCACTTTGGTTGATGGCAGCATGGAGAATGCAGTGTGATACCCCCACTGTATGAGGAAACAGACTGAGGCTGGGACTGTGAATTTAGACTTGGAAGGTTTAGGGGGATCATCTGTGATGTTGATGTCTGGCCTTGCTCAGAGAATGGACTTTACCCCCATGTGAGTATCCTAAGAGTCAAATGTGGAGTTCAAGGATTTCTGCTGAGCAGTTGGTGTGCTGCGTGAGCTGGTTTGGGGCTGTGCTCACAGCATTCCCTCCCACCCTTCAGCCTGCTCTTCCTCCCATGCAAACACATGTCAAACAGGGCCCTGCAGTGGTGAACCAAAATCAGATCCGTGGCCCTGTTTGTTGCCTCTCCCATTGCTAATCTCTGACCTTAAATAAAAAACAAATGTAGCTGAAGAATCAGCTGCACCTCTCCCTGGTGCTGTTTGTGCAACTGTTCTGTGCTGTCGTAGCCCTTAACCTCATGCTTAATGTGAAAAGACGGTGCAGTAAAGATGTATTTCAAATGCCTGTGGCTGTTCCACCTTCCTCTCTAGTTTAATTCATAAGTCAGGGCTGTTGTACACCACCCAGTTTGAATGCAGTTGCGTGTGCAAAGAGGTTTGTTCCAAAAGGTGAAGCTGTGTCCAAAAAACCCCCAAACCCAAACACATTTGTAAAGAGGTTTTGTAGTTCGCTTTTCTGATTTCGTTAGCAAACTTGTGGGGAGGGTCTTCACATTTTTTCTTTGTTGTTACTTGGATCTTCATTAAAGCAAATGTGTGATCTTGTTACGAGGAGACAGGTTTGGAACAGCTAATTTATAATCTGTATTACGAAAATAAAATCTTGTGGTTAGCAACCTTGGGGACAAACGATCAGACTAGAGACTGCTCCATGGGTTCCTAGCCCTGGGCAGGAGGGGAGCTGTGCCATACCTGCTGGGGAGCATGCTGGGACAGTGCCTGCAGTCTTGAATTGATTTTTGCTGCCTTTGTCTCTGTTCTTCAGGGGTCGAGGTGTGTGGAGCAGGCAGCTGCCTGTGTTGCATTACAGCAGGCAGATCTCTGTAAAGCATGGTGTAATGCTGCAGGGATCAGACTGAAATTTGGTACCTACTACAATGATGTTCAGTTTCACAGAATCATAGAATCACAGAATTGCCAGGGTTGGAAGGGACCTCAAGGATCATGAATCTCCAACCCCCCTGCCACACGCAGGGCCACCAACCATTCCACCTAATGCTAGACCAGACTGCCCAGGGCCCCATCCAATCTGGCCTTGAACACCTCCAGGGATGGGGCATCCACAACCTCCCTGGGCAGCTGTTCCAGTACCTCACCACTCTCTCCGTAAAGAATTTCCCCCTGACGTCCAACCTAAATCTCCCTTCCCTCAGCTTAAAACCATTTCCCCTTGTTCTGCTGTTTTTTCAACCCTTTCAAAGAGTTGATTCCCCTCCTGTTTGTAGGCTCCCTTTAGGTACTGAAAGGCTGCAATGAGGTCACCCCGCAGCCTTCTTTTCTCCAGGCTGAACAAGCCCAGCTCCCTCAGCCTGTCCTCATAGTGGAGGTGCTCCAGTCCCCTGATCATCTTCGTGGCCCTCCTCTGCACCCTTTCCAACAGCTCCCTGTCTTTCTTGTACTTCGAGTCTCCTTCAGTATCTGAGTCCACCTGACATCCAGCAGGAGGTACCGAGTGGGTCTGCTGTGTGTTTATTTTGCTGTAAGAGGGGCTTCAAGTGGTTGTGGTGGAGAGAACCCCTGGTAATGGAATTCTGTTCTGAGCTGCCAGCTCTGCAGGTGCTGCTGGGGGAAAGAACTACGAATTTCTTTCTCCTCCAGCATCTGTCCAAACCTAAGTATTTTCCCAGCCCTGCTAAGATTCAGCACATCCCTATGAACAACTGCATGTGTCTCCACCTGCTTGCCTGGAGAAGAACTGAGGAGGCCTGATCTGTCTGCTTTGCAAACTCCAGCTGTGTCTGCTGAGCAGCAGAAAAGGTCAGTGTGGATGCACAGGGCCCAGCAGCAGCACCCAGCAGGACTCTGGATACAAACGCAGTGCTGTTGCTGCCTGCTGCCCAGCTCTGCATCGGGGCAGCAGCAGTGCAGGGTTGGGGTGCTGCAGCCAGGGCATGTCAGGAGCCCTTGGCTGTGGTGTCAGGGAAGATGCTGAGGCTGTGAGGGTGGAGGGTCCTGGATGTCCTCCAAATGTGTGCACATAATTAGGTGGGTCTGACTAGAGAGCTAGGGAGCTGTGTTCTCTTCCAGTGCTGTTGCTTACTTGCCCTGGACCTCTATGAATCCTGCTTGGAAGGTGAATTACCAGGTGGGTGTTTAAATATAGTCAGAAACAGCCTTCAGACAACTTCTGCTGGGACAGAGCAATCTTCTTTATGTTCCATGCAGCACAGAGAAGTTTACTCTGGCCTTCTCTAGTTTCTAATAGTCCCCTGTGGCACTGGTGTAGTACTTGTCCTGCCAAGAGTGGGCAGAGAGGTCTTCTCAGGGAGAAGGGAGAACTTCCCTGTGTTTAAACTGGCTGGATGGAAAGACTGTCTTAGAACAGAAGGAGCAGGGCAGAGATCAGATCACTGCCATTCCTCTGCCTCAGAACACATGGTCCAGGTGCTGCTCTGGGCTGCAAAGCCCAGCCCTGTTTCTCCTCCATACAACCAGGAGGCTGTTTGGGCCTTTCCTGTTTTCAGTGCCTCCCTCCTTGGTTGGGGCAGTTCACTTTTAACATGTTGTGTCTGAGTCAGCAAGAAGCAACAGCAGGGCTGTTGGATGAAGGCTTTGTGGTGAGTTCATTGGCAGTTGCCCATACCCGGTTGGGTTTGAGCCCAGCCCAGTGGTCGAGCACAGCAGTAGCAATCTCGAGACTTGGGTTTTCACCTTGATTTGGGGCAGATTGCATTCCATATCTCTAACATTCCTTCTAGCTGCAAAATCTTTGAGACAGGTGCAGTCCTTGCTCGCATTGCACTGTGCGTTCCTGGACTCTGCTTAGTAATGCTGCAGCTGTGCAATCCTCAACTCACAGCTTCTCAGGAATATGCTCTGGGGATTTCCAGAGCAGAGGGAGGATGTGCAGATGAAGCATTAGGAGCATTCTGTGTCTTTCCCGCTGGGGATATGCAGGGAGAGTGGGGTAAAGCGTGGGGATGGAGGAAAGGAGGAGGTGGAGCAGAGAACTGTGCATGTGTGAGGAGGTTGCTTGGCTCAGGTGATGAGGGGAAGGTTGGGAGGGACTGGCAGAAAAACTTAATCTATGCTTGGCTTCCAAGCATTGTTATGATCCTTCAGCTTTTCCTGCTTCCCATGCAGCATCCTTGGCAGGCTGGTGGCCACTGTAGCTCTCAGGGATGGGGACAACAATTTGCAAATGGAGAGGTTTACTGCAAAGAATAAATCTGTTCTGTTAGGCTGACCTGTCTCTGGAACCTGGGGCTATTAGAACATAAGTGGTATCACAGCCAACGGGTAGGAACCTCTGCTTTCAGTCCCATTCCTCCCTTCCAGCTTGCTTAACTGCCTCCTTTCACTTAGCCTTCCTGTCTTCAATCTAGCAGAATTGACTGACAAACACATTATTTCTGTTGGTCCAAAGCAAATAGTTGTTCTCACTCAGGGGCTGATGCAGAAGCCATGGCTGTGTGGGCCTTATCCAGCAAGAGCAGCTCTGGAGCTGG